GGGTCGGATACCAGGGACATTGGGGCTCTACTCCAGAAGCCCAAACACACTCAGGCCGTAGACCAACCGGACACAGAACCGGAACCGGACCGCCACGAGATGGAGGTACCACATCACCCCCAGGTGGTAAGACCCGCACAAGCGGACCCTCTGGATGAATCAGCCCCAACAACTAGGGGAGACCTGAAGGTTTTATTAGCTGATATCCACAAGCTCCTGGCTGCAGATTTAGCTGTATTTACAACACAGCTACAGGCCGTAACAGAGAGAGTCAAGGCCACAGAGGGGGCTATAGCAGATACACAAACTGCCATGCAAACCATGCAGGACTCTATCCACCAATTACAAACGCACCAGACTACCCTGAATGCAAAACTCATAATACTAGAGGATAGACAACGCCGCGCAAACATCAAAATAAGGGGTATCCCTACGGCAATATCCGCGGAGGAACTTCCCCACTACACCCGACGCCTCTTGACATCTATATTACCTCCCACGCTGGTCCGCAAAATCACAGTGGACAGTTTATATCGCATCCCCAATACCACCAACACTAATACCAACCTGAACCGGGATGTCATCCTGCGCTTCCACTCAGTACAAGACAAAATACATGTCATGTCAGCCGTGAAGGGCAAAACCCCTCTTTTATTTGAGAATGACACCTTGAATTTCTTCCAAGACCTCACTAAAGCAACACTGCTATGGAGGAAAACCTACGCACCGGTAACATCCCAACTACGCACGGCAGGACTGCCATACAGATGGGGGACCGACAACTCCTTAACGGTCACCGCGGAAGGAACTACGCATGTCCTCCACACCATGGCCGACGCAGCCTCTTTTTTGAGAAAATTGGGACTACCCATTCCAACCGATAATCATACGCTTCCTGAGAGTGCCAGAGACCCGGCCACCATCATCCCCTTTGTCCCACGCACCAGACGGACACCACCACCCGTACAGTGACAGCCCAAACCGGCACCTATGGCTACACAATCTAGCCCACATTGGAAGGCTCTGGCCTCGACCCACCTGGAGAGGACATTGATATACGAGGGAAACCTCGTACTCGGACGCAACGCAGTTATTAGAATTTAATTTTTTTTTGTTTATATTTTTATATTTTATATGTATTTTTCTTTTTCTTTATGTTTTCACACCCCTATCCTGACTATAAGCAAACCACACTCCAACCGACACACTGAACACAACACCAGAGAGTCAATGGGGCCACACCCCTCCTCCCCCCCCCCCCGCAACCCCCTGGGTTAGGGGTACCACGCATATCAGCTACCGCTGAAACAGCCCATGCACACAGGCCACACTGACAAACCACAACCCAAACTGGGAACCAACACCATCACATAAGCTGACACAGGTTACCTACCCAAACTCCATGAATCACTCACACGACAATGTTTCTCTGTGTTTCACGACTCCTATATATTTGTCTACAGAATGTCTAACATGTTGACCTTGTATATAATTGTTAAACGTTGAAAAAAAAAAACAAATGTGCATACTGCTAGACATACCTAAGCTATATTGGACATGCATAATTTAAGAATGTCTTTGTCCTCTTGATATTTCTTATGCACAACTAAAATAAAGATTAAAAAAAAAAAAATAGCGTGCATTTAAAAACAAAAAACTTTTTTCACTGTTATAGATTGAATAGCAGTTAGTTTTCTCAAAGCGGATGTGTCAGGCTCACAGTGGATACTGTGCCCAGTGCCACCACTCACTCACTGGTGTCACAATAGCTTGCATTTAAAAACAAAAAACTTTTTTCACTGTTATAGATTGAATAGCAGTTAGTTGTCTCAAAGCGGGTGTGTCAGGCTAACAGTGGATACTGTGCCCAGTGCCACCACTCACTCACTGGTGTCACAATAGCTTACTTTAAAACCAAAAACCTTTTTTCACTGTTATAGATTGAATAGCAGTTAGTTGTCTCAAAGCGGGTGTGTCAGGCTCACAGTGGATACTGTGCCCAGTGCCACCACTCACTCACTGGTGTCACAATAACTTGCATTTAAAAACAAAAAACTTTTTTCACTGTTATAGATTGAATAGCAGTTAGTTTTCTCAAAGCGGGTGTGTCAGGCTCACAGTGGATACTATGCCCAGTGCCACCACTTACTCACTGGTGTCACAATAGCTTGCATTTAAAAACAAAAAACTTTTTTCACTGTTATAGATTGAATAGCAGTTAGTTGTCTCAAAGCTGGTGTGTCAGGCTCACAGTGAATACTGTGCCCAGTGCCACCACTCACTCACTGGTGTCACAATAGCTTGCATTTAAAAACAAAAAACTTTTTTCACTGTTATAGATTGAATAGCAGTTAGTTTTCTCAAACCGGGTGTGTCAGGCTCACAGTGGATACTGTGCCCAGTGCCACCACTCACTCACTGGTGTCACAATAGCTTGCATTTAAAACCAAAAACTTTTTTCACTGTTATAGATTGAATAGCAGTTAGTTTTCTCAAAGCGGATGTGTCAGGCTCACAGTGGATACTGTGCCCAGTGCCACCACTCACTTACTGGTGTCACAATAGCTTGCATTTAAAACCAAAAAACTTTTTTCACTGTTATAGATTGAATAGCAGTTAGTTTTCTCAAAGCGGGTGTGTCAGGCCTACAACGTGTACTCTGCCAGTTTACAGTGCCACTCATATCTGGTGTCATAATAGCTTGCATTTAAAAACAAAAAACTTTTTTCACTGTTATAGATTGAATAGCAGTTAGTTGTCTGCCAGCAGGTGTGTCAGGCTCACAGTGGATACTATGCCCAGTGCCACCACTCACTCACTGGTACCCGGACGAAATTTATTTTCACAAAAGGCAATCCCCAACCTGTACTCGATTGTGCAAAAGGAAATAATGGCATGCCTGGCACACAGTGTTGGGGCAAGGGTCCATCTGACCACTGATACCTGGTCTGCAAAGCAAGGTCAGGGCAGGTATATCACCTACACTGCGCATTGGGCAAACCTGCTGACAGCTGCCAAGCATGGAATGCGTGGCTCTGCAGAGGAGTTGGTGACACCGCCACGACTTGCAGGCAGGCCTGCTGCCACCTCCTCTACTCCTCCTACTCCATCCTCTTCCATAACCTCCTCGGCTGAGTCCTCTTCTGCTGCTGCGTCTTGCTCCACATCAACGGATAGGGGACGTAACAGTGATTAAACTGATAACAATAGTACTAAACACACCACTCCTATCTGGTGGCACATTAGATTGCACGCGCAGTGCCCCAAATTTGTTGTGATCTGTGAGTAAGGTAACGGTTGTCCATACAAGTAAGGTTGCAGCTTTTTGAGGGCCCACACCACCGCCAGGCACTCCTTTTCAATGGCAGTGTATCTACTTCCCTGGGCAAAAGTTTCCGGCTTAGATAAGCCCCGGGTTGCTCGCCGCCATCTGCTCCGACTTGGCTCAGTACTGCTCCCAATCCAAACATATAAGCGTCTGTATGGACGAGAAAGCGTTTAGTTGGATCAGGAGCAGAAAGTACAGGTGATTTAATGAGCGCCGTCTTGAGCTGTTGGAAGGCCTGTTCATACTCTGGGGCCCATACTACTATCTTGGGGAGGTTTTTACGTGTTCCTATATGGCACTTACTGGGCTTTAGGGTCAGCCCGGCCTCCCTAATCCGGTCTAGTACGGCTCCTATGTGGGTCAGGTGTTCGGGCCAGGAGCAGCTAAAAATGGCTATATCATCCAAGTAGGCGCAGGCATACTCCTGAAACACATCCAGTAGCCGATCTACCATCCTCTGAAAGTTAGCCGGGGCATTCTTCATCCTGAATGGCATGACCTTAAACTGATACAGGCCAAACGAGGTGACAAATGCCGACTTGTGGATGGAGTCCTTGGCTAATGGAATTTGCCAGTACCCCTTGCACAGATCTATTGTGGTGAGGTACTGGCCTCTGGCCATTTTGTCTAGTGTCCAGTGTGTATCATGATCTCTTAAGACAGGTGTCAATCCATATCTGCCAATTGACCCTATGTAGGGGAAACAGTCTCTATTCTGCTCTGTGTCAGTGTGTATCAGGGGCTCTGAGGACAGGTGTCAATCCATATGTCAAGGTGTCAATATGTCATATGTCAGGTGTCAATCCATATCCATTGTGATTTAGGAATGTTAGGTGATTTATGCCCTTTATGGATTAAGAACAGACTCTGCATCAACTGTGTAATTTTCCATGGGAGTTTTGCCATCGATCCCTCTCCGGCATGCCACAGTCCAGGTGTTAGTCCCCTTGAAACAACTTTTCCATCACTATTGTGGCCAGAAAGAGTCCCTGTGTCTTTTAAAATTCGCCTGCCCATTGAAGTCTATGGTGGTTCGCGAACATTTGCGGAAGTTCGCGTTCGCGACATCACTCTCTACAACCCCTATACACACACTCTCTAAAGCACCTAGACACGCATACATTACATTACACCACAAATACAATAGGACTGAACCCAGAGGGGGAGGTGCATCTTGGGTGAGCTCCCACACGTTTTTCCCCAGGACCTGACCCCTGCTCTACTGGCTGTCTTCCAACATATGCACACTTTACTAGCATATTTAACTTTGGTATCCCACGCATGAGGACATGACCGACATCGCCAACTAATGCAGGGCCTTGTCCACATGCAAGAACTATGCAGCATGGCTCTGTGCATTGGATGCACTGGAGGGAGGTCAAACTAAGATGTTCACATTGAGGCCAGGGTGCTGGTCATTGATGATGACATGACCCATGCCTCTCCTTTCCCACCACCTTCTATTGGTCTGCAGTGATCTAACATGCCAGAGACACATTTTTGTCCCAATAAGGACCCTGTGCACCAAAGATAAAGATGCAGCAAAAATGGGAGACTTACCTGAATGAAAGGATGAATTTAATAACATTAAAAAAATCCTCAAAATGTTTTAAATACAAACACAGAACGATATCACTTGTACTCTGAGACAATGCAAGATACATTTAATACACTCACTTGTACAGACTCCTAATTTAACCTGGAGTCTTAGAATAGCCCTTTATTTGTAGAATATAATTTTAGGGAAACACAATCTTCACATTTTTGTCCCAGTCTAGTCCTGCTTAACACAGTAACATTTCCCTATTGTAATGCAAGACGGTACATTTCACATGATCTGCTAGATTTCAGTTTGTTTTGCTTCGTTAAGAATTCTTCAAATTGATAGCTATGGGAGACTCCTGCAATATATTGAGTGAGCCATCACTCCTCCTACCATACTCAGCTACAATAGGCACTTGAAGAATGGAACTAGTTTAGGAGCATGGCCAGCCTTAGGCCATTTTTTTTGCTCCCCTGTCACCTGGCCATGTTTGAGCTGTGTGGCTATAGGGCGCCCCCTGCTCCATGGCACCGTGTACGGCCGCACAGCTCGCACACCCCTATGTGGAGAAGAACTACTTTCCCCATATGTGCTGTGAGCACCAACACATGTAAAATTTGGTTAGGTCTACATGTGGGGAAAAAAAATACATACCGTATATACTCGAGTATAAGCCATTTTTGGTGCTGAAAAAACCCCACTCGGCTTATACTTGATTGAAGGTCTGTATTATGGCAACTTACATTGCCATAATACAAACCAGGACCGCCCGGCTCATTACAAGCCCGGCGGTCCTGTTGGGGGCTGGGAGCAAGCTGTAACTTACCTGTGCAGCAGCTCCATTCAGCTCACTGTCTAAATCTCATGATTTAGACAGTGAGTGGAACGGAGCAGAGGAGAAGGGAGCTAACTGGAACTGCTGCACAGGTAAGTTACAGCTTGCTCCCAGCCCCCAACAGGACCGCCGGGCTTTCCTGGTTTGTATTTAGAAATTTACCAGTAGCTGCTTCATGTCCCACCCTAGGCTTATACTCAAGTCATTAAGTTTTCCCAGTTTTTTATGGTAAAATTAGGGGCCTCGGCTTATATTCGGGTCAACTTATACTCGCTTATATACGGTACTTCTTCAGCAATTAAATAGATCAGACTTACTAGAAGTTTTGTAATAAAGGTATACTCCAAACACCATATCCACTACAGTCCCCTGTAGTGGTTATGGTGCCAGGAGAGTCCTGGCATCCACCAAGAGTAATCTGTCAAAAATTTTCAAATGGTTAGACAACTTATCAAGGTTTCCCCAGATTTCCATATAGCAAGTAGAACCATTACAGGACCACGCTCATTGGCGGAGAATGTTCCTCTAACACGCTTAGCCAGCGATCGTGGCCTTGCTTAGCTCAGTGAAACTAACTAGATTCTTCTGGAAGGATAATATGAATGGAGTGCTGTGGCTGCAGTAATCTGGTAGGACCCCAGTAGTTGTCAAACCATTCTAAAACAGTTTCACAAATTACGCTGGGTATGGTGGTTGGAGTGTTCCTTTAAGAGCAATGCGCTACTATAAGTGTGTGTACACAAAACATTGGAGCCAGTGAAACCAGATTAACCGGAATGATTCAGAAGAGAAACAATCTGGACATAGAACTCTCAAAACAACAACCAGCTCACACAAGTTTTGAAATCTCTTGCCTGAAACTGTAAGTAATGTTAAAAGTATGCCAAGAATGTGTGTGTTTTTTTCCTCCCTATATAAATGGAGATCTCCAGGACAACACATTATTACAGAGACGTACTGAAAAAGCCTGTTGTGTGCGTTTTCATGGACTGAACAGCTAAGAAACACTTGATAAAGCAGAAATTGATGCAAAATATGCACAGATTTAACCAGGCTAGCTAATAACGCTGCCAGAGGTGGAGATGCATCAATAGCAGCTCAGCGCTTTAACTTTTTATATGCAACATTTCAAATGGAAAACACTGCATATTCAGATTTCAAGAACCATAAAAACTTAAAATCATTGAAGTGGTCATGGTGCTTGGAATAACCCTTTAACTACAGAGCAAAATACACCGTAGCTAATTTACTGGCACCATACAATGAATGTGCCCAGCTACTACACAGTGCTAAAATCTTTGGATATGCTGAGTTTAGAGCAGATGGCATATTTAATACCTAGATTTTAAAAGTCTGGCAGGGTATCCTGCAAAAAAGTTATACTACTTTTTTCATCAAAAGTTATACTACTTTTTTTTGGGTAGCAAATATTTTCTCCTTACTATGCTGCAGCATCACCTGTGTGTGACTGGACACATTTTATCCATTACAAATATGAATGCATGCATATTTATCACATTCTCTATAATATTATTTTATCATTTATATAGCACCAGCAAATTCTGTAGCGCTGTACAATATGGATGTAGAAAGATCAGTGGATCATTTGCTCTTATTTGTGGTCTACTTTCATCAAGGGACACAACAAAAAAAAATGTTTCTTGATCTTCAACTTCAAAAAGTAGTCCTTTGCTGCCAATGAACTCGAATGTGTATGTTTGAATGGGTTACATTTTTACACTAGAAGCCCATCGTTGATAAAATAAAATACTCAACTTGAGGGACATTTCTTCAATATACAGGACTGAAAACTGCAGTGCTTTCGTACAGCTCTGTTTTCCTGATCCATGCATCCCTTAGTAGAGATCCACAAGATCTGCCACATTTATATTGTCCTGTAAAACAATCTAATACACAGAATTACAGTGAAAGTTTATAGAATAGTTTGGTTCAATCCAAGAAATATGGCCACCCTACTTGTTCCCATGGCTTCTGCTAGTCTTAGTGATACAGAGTACCTAAGAGTTCTTAAATAAATCAATTATTTAACCCCTTAAGGACACATGACATGTGATTCCATTTTATTCCAGAAATTTGGTCCTGAAGGGGTTAAAAGGAAAAAAAGAAAGGTCATTTTAGTCCATCTATTTTATTACTTTAAAAAAGTCATGTTTTCTTACAGTTTCACACTTACAGGTTTTCCTCTTAAAAAAACAAAAAAGGCATATTGGGATAAAGAGGAAATACAATATTCAATAAAAATTCTACTATAAAAATGTAACCAAAAAAAAATATATATATATATATTCTTTGTACATTCATTATTGCCAACGTGAAAGTATTCCACTGATTGTCATTCATACACCTACTTTTCACATTATATTTACAAACAAACATTACCTCAGATTAGAAGCTTAAATCGAAAACAAACAAACAAAAAAAATACATATATAACGTTCATTGGTCTGTATTATGCATGACATCCAGCAGTTCATAATGAGATGATGCAGGACAATTACCGGAAGTTGACAGGTTAAGTAGTTCTGCATGGCTTAGAAGAACCTGTGTTTCTAACATTTATTGGTTAAGTCTGAAAGCGGCATTATTATTGAATAAGAAACCAATTTGCAAATTAAGGATAGAAGAGCCCATTAAAGCAAGGTTGGATGATCTTATATCAGCTACTTTTGCCTAAAGTTTTCAATTTTTTTTTTTTTTTTTTAAATCACCACATTCTGTTTCATGTACTTCCAAATATCCCTACAAGCGCCACAGATATAACAGTTTTTTAGTTATGAGTTCCCCCTGCTTTAGAAATCTACACCAACTAGAGGAACCCATTTACCCCTACAGAGGTGGGACAATTATCAACTGTATCCACTTTAGATAATATAGATATACAGATATTTGTATTTAATTGTACAGCCCTTTGTAAAAATATTCAAGCCAGGGAACTGTATAATGGTCAAGAATACTCACTAGATAGTAGCTCTGCAGTTACTCAAGAACTATACATCCCATAATCTTGAGAAAAACCATGACCTTTTGGAATATCATGGACTATAAAAGGCTACTGACTGCTGCTGAGCCTCTGCTTTCCTTGACCATTGCCCTATCCGAACAGTCAGTCACATATTTTGATCACAGTCAAAGTTTTAAAGAGATACAATCAGCAAGTGAAATTATCTATTTTCTAAGTATGCATAACAGCAACATTCTATACATTGTCCAATAACAACCTGCATTAAAATAAAAAATTTTTACAATGTGCAAAATAAGTGTTTGCAAGACATTATATGCCCTACAATTTAGTCTGACTATATATTTTTTGCTAGCCTAGTCTTATATAGTGGTGTTTTATGTGATCGTAGTAATTGTTGCAGAGTATTAAAGTTACTGTAAGGGTACTTACATTTTTTGTTTTTTAAAAATACATATTTTTCCCTTGCTTGCTCTTCAGTAGATCTGGTCTGTGAGTAATGCTATCAGTATTCCTTGCAAGACAGAAGCAACATCCACATTTCTAAAATTTTAAAATGTGGCTTCATCTTTTAAGGTTACATTTTTTAACATGTGAAACAATGCACTGAAATTTATTTTTTGTAAAATATATACACACACACACACACACACACACACAAATTTAAAGTTGAATAAAGTCATAAAAATCAGTAAGTTTTAAACATTACTTATATGTTGCACGTAAAAAAATGTTACCTCCACCATATGATTAGTAGTAGAAAAAAAATCAAAAAAAAAATCATATTTTGAAGAGAACTGAGCTCTTCCCTACATTCAACATTTGGAGGGATTGTATTCTTTATACAGTTGGCAAAAATGTCTTTTTGGTCTTTAGGGCTGAAAGATTATTCAGCCACTGGAATCTTTACAGAATGACAAAGAAGGTATCGGCATCACTGAGCCCTTATTTTTTGTTGTCGTAGTCGCTGACCATCCTCTTAACGTGGTTTAGTTTGTTCTTCAGCTGTTTGCAACGTTTCTTTTTGTTCTGGAAATCTGGAGTCTGATGGGAACAAAGAAAAGATAAAAAAAAAAAAAAAAAATCATAAAATTTAAATTAATACTATTTCTACCAAATCTCAAACCATCACTAACTAGAGAATGTCATATATTATAAAAGTGTGATTGAATTGTGATTAAAATTATCATGGAAAACTCTCTCTTACCGATTTTATGCTCTTGAGATGATTGTATTCTGCTGCAGCATCCTAGGAATTTAAAAAGCAAATTTAGTTATATAAATACTACTACTACTACTACTACTACTACTACTACTACTACTACTACTACTACTACTAATAATAATAATATAAAAAGTGGGGAACAAGGCCTTATTGACGAACGACTTTACTCAAAATACCATCTCATCTACACATTAAAAATAAATGTTAATTTATTCCTGGAAGTATTACGTAGTTTGAGAAGAGTTTGTTCTACTTCAGATTTCAATCTAATGATAAATCAGTAATGGTGAAGAAAATAAACAAAACAAAATTACCTTGTATTCGCGACTTTCTTCTGGATATTCATCAAGCTCTTTGTCCAGTTGAGATAGAGACTTTGTAACATCATCTAATTCAGCCTGTAACCTCTTGTACTCCTGAAGGCCAGCATCAAAGTCACGCTTGTATTCCTGCCTCATTTGGTCTGACGTGATGGGCGGGTACTCTCTGCAAGGGAAACAATTTAATGTTCTGATCTTTTTGACATGAAAAACAATGACTTGTCAATGAAAATCATAGCATCCAGTAGAAAGAATTCAAGCTGTGCACACTGAATATGACATTGTGGTTGTAGTAGAGATTTCTCCAAGGCTTGCAGGCCTTTCCTCCATGAGGTTTTACCCATTCTCCATTTTACAGTGAGATTTTCTGAACTTTCAAGAAATGTAACATTTGTGTATGAAGAAATTTGCAAATATAGACTCTCAGCAGAATCCTTGGAAAAGATAAGTTGGTGAAGGGAAGATGGGCACATAACTGTGGGGGATTGGGACAGTGAAGTTGTAAATGTTAGTCTTCTGTCTAAATTTGAATTATGGGCCTAAAAAGATAATGTTTGCTAGGGGAACTCTCAAGGGAAACCCTAACAAGTGTGAAATTATTAACGTAACTAAAGAGTTTAATTCACCTTCATCTAAATTTATTCTTTAGAACTACTGTTGGGGAGGGGGGCAGGAAAGCAAGTTAGAAGAGTGTGCGTTGGGCAAGTATTTTGAGGAAATTGTTTGGGATTATCACTGACCAAATGGATTTGTTTCTATTCTTTGCACACAGACATCAAGATTTGTTTAGAAATCAGTTGAATTTCTAAATGTGATGAGGAACTTAGCTTGGAGAAAGCTCTTAGCTCAAACAGTGGCGCCTAGTCCTAAGCTTGGATGGCCATGCGCGGACTGAATACTCTGTGCTTAAAACAACTTATTAATGGTTTAACCTGAAGGTAAACCGGTGGCTGGGACCATAGGCGTGCACAGCCTATTGCATTAGGGTGTGCACCCTAAAGCACAAGCCGTATATATATATATATATATATATATATATATATATATATATACATACACACACATACACACTGCTGTGTGTGTGTGTGTGTGTGTGTGTGTGTGTATGTGTGCTGTGTGAGGGTGCTGTTAGTGTGATGTGTGTGTGAGGGTGCTGTTAGTGTGATGTGTGTGTGAGGGTGCTGTTAGTGTGATGTGTGTGTGACGGTGCTGGTAGTGTGCTATGTGGGTGAGGGTGTTTGTGTGTGCGTGCTTGTGAGGGTGCTGTTAATGTACTGTGTGTGAGGGTGCTGTTAATGTACTGTGTGTGAGGGTGCTGTTTGTGTGAGAGGGTACTGGTAGTGTGCAGTGTGTGTGTTTGTTAGGGTCCTGTTTGTGTTTGTGAGGGTACTGTTAGTGTGCTGTGTGTGTGTGAGGGTGCTGTGTGTGGGTGCTGTGTATGTGTGTGGGTGCTGTGTATGTGTGTGGGTGCTGTGTATGTCTGTGGGTGCTGTGTATGTCTGTGGGTGCTGTGTATGTCTGTGGGTGCTGTGTATGTCTGTGTATGTCTGTGGGTGCTGTGTATGTCTGTGCTGGTGCTGTGCTGTGTATGTCTGTGGGTGCTGTGTATGTCTGTGGGTGGGTGCTGTGTATGTGGGTGGGTGATGTATGTGGGTGGGTGATTGTGGGGGGTGGAGGTGGGGTTACATTACTTGCTATCCCCCCTCCCTTCTTACCTTTTGTAGGGAGGGGGGATCGTGCTGCTGCTTCCTTCCCTGGTGGTCCAGTGGAGGAGGGGCTCCTTGCTGCTGTGATCCCTGGTGGTCCAGTGGAGAGTGAACTCTAGCCCCCTGTGGGGCTAGAGTTCACTCTCGCGAGATTTGAGCGTTGCCGTGGCAACGCTCATATCTCGCGAGAGGAACCCGGCGGAGCTGCCGGCAATAGCTCCGCCGGTCCTCTCCTGCCTCCCTCCCTGCATGTGGGTCAGTGGGGAGGGAGGCTGAGAGCAGAGCTGGCGCTCGGATAGCGCCGGCTCTGCATGAGCCGACAGGGGAGATCCTGAGATCTCCCCTGCCGGTCTCAATATACATAGGCGTGCCGCGGGGATTTGGGTGTGCCCAGGTACACCCGGCACACCCCGTGCGCACGCCTATGGCTGGGACCACGTCTAACCATGAAACTTTATTCTGATGAAGATGTTAGGTGCACACAGTGTCCCTGTAAATTTGCTTGCTTCTAGCCAACTTAGGTTTCAATTTAACAAGCATTCCAATAGATTGAATGCTGTTTGATGAAAATAAAAAAAATAAACTAAAAAAACAAAAACAAAAAACTTTCCTAGTGAATTATATCTACTGAAGTCATCATTAAAGGAACACTATAGGGTCAAGAACGCAACCATGTATTCCTAACTCTATAGTTTTGAACCCACCATTTAGGTGGCCTTAGCCCCCTTAAAAGTTCGTAAAACTCACCTTATTTCCATCACCGCACAGGTCTGCTGGCTCTAGCTCCACCCCCTTGGTGATGTCATCATAATTGTAGGGGGAAAAAAATAAAAAATAAAAATAAAAATAAAAATCGGCAAGGGGCGGGGCCAAACGCCATTTTGGTCAATCAGCACTTCCTCATAGAGATGCACTGATTCAATGCATCTCTATGAGGAGCATTTAACGTCCCGATGCAGAGCGTGGAGACACTGAATGGTAGTGCTGCCTACTGTGCAGTGCTGAGCCAGGAAGTACCTCCAGTGGCCATCTGAGGAGTGGCCACTTGGAGGGGTCCCTACGGGCAATGTAAACACTGCCTTTTCTCTAAAAAAAAAAAAAAAAAAGAAAAAAAAAAAAAAAAGAAAAGGCGGTGTTTACAGGAAAATGCCTGAAGGATGTGATTATACTCCTCAGAACAACTACATTAAGCTGTAGTTGTTCAGGTGACTATAGTGTCCCTTTAACGTTTACGGGCATTTTTGGAGAGCAATCATTTGTACAGTACTGAATCATTTGGAAAGCTTATTAAATTGAGGCTTAAATTATACAGGAAAATGTTAAAATATACACTGAATACAAAGAATTAAAGTAAAATTACAGGCTTCAAGCGGTTACCTGTCCCATTCGTCGTCATCTAGTTCATCGCATGATTCTCCTCCCGTGGCATAATCTGTATCTTCGTAATCAATTTGGGATCGCTTTGGTCTCCCTGGGTTTTTTTTTCGTGGAGCTTTTTTGCTGGTTGCATCAGAGCTACTGCTGTAAGATTTTGGAGCCATGCCGGTGTCATTTTTCACTGGAAATACCTCCTCCGGAATTCTATTAAATAAAAACCAAAAAACGCGATATGCAACAATCTTGTGTAGCAAGTTGGGAGAGAACAGGGTACAATATAGCTTCTGAGAGGAACGGACGCGTCAGCAGCCAATCAGAATCAGATATTCAGACAGATAAGTCGTTTACGCCTCAGTAAATCATTTCCCAGAGAAAATATAGAATGTTCGACCCACTTGATACAAATGTCAAATGCCCTAGGTAGTTAAAGTTAGCTATAAATTCAGTTTAAAAAAAAAAGAGTACAGTATATACAGGTGGAAAATAATTTAGTGATCACACCATACATCGTTGTATGAAACCAAAATGTAACGAGATGTGTAATTTTTACTTTTGTATCATATCATCTTAGCCAGGAGGAGAAATATATATTGTAACAGAGCGGTGAACAAATCCTGCAGGATGTTAAAGCTGTACGGTCATGGCCAAATCCCATTTTTTTAACCCTCCTCTCTAATTGACCCCTTAGACACCCCCAAATGCCCCTAAGCCCCCCACATTACCTATTTTTTAATCTTTATTTTCTGCCCCCATCTTTGTTTGGGTAGAGGAAGTCCCTGTGGGACACGTCATCTGCCCACACTAGATAGCGCTGAGATTCCCGCACATTAAACACTTGGACATGCGAACGGGAATTTCATCTATTCATTCATCAGAAAGACGAATGAATGAATAGCAATGTCAGACGAACAAACACTGTTCATCAGTGTTCATTTGTTTGTTCAGTTTATTACAAGGAGGGAGCTACCGGCACGCAGCTCCCTCCTTGTAATATGTAAAGATTGAAGCGGCAGGGAGCAGTGCTCCCAGCTACTTCATAAGCCCCCCAGGTCCCCCCACCCTCTATGGGGGTCAATATGACCCCCATAATAGCATAAGGGAGATTAAAATCTCCCCAATGCCCCTACTCGCTATACCACGAGTAGGGGTATGTCCACTAAACAATGAGCAGCCTGTGGCTGCTTACTGTTTAAAAAAAAAGAAAAAAAAAGAAAGAAAAACTACTATCCGGCCCACACCCCTGCGCGGTGGGTGGGGGCCCTAAAAAACAATAAGGGGGTGACCTACTGTCCTCCCCCCCCCCCCCCCCTGAGCGGTGGGTGGGGGCCCTAAAAAACCTACTGCCCTCCCCCCGGTCCCCACCTCTGAGTGGTGGGTGGGGGCCCTAAAAAACCAATAAGGGGGCTACTGTCCTCCCCCAGCCCCCAACCCCTGAGCCTTGGGAGGAGGCCCTAAAAAACAATAAGGGGACCTACTGTCCTCCACCCCAGCCCTCACCCCTGAGCGGTGGAAAGGGGGCCCCACCCCAAAAAAAAAAAGATTCAACCCCCAATCAAGGTGACTAGGGGTCCCAAGCCTCTAGTCACCCACCCCACCCAAATAAAACTATCCCCATTTTTTTTAGGGCCCCACCCACCGCTCAGGGGTGGGGGCCGGGGGGGGGGGAGGACAGTAGGTCCCCCCGTTATTGTTTTTAAGGCCCCCACCCACTGCTCAGGGGTGGGGGCCATGGGGAGAACAGTAGGTCCCTCCCTTATTGTTTTTAGGGCCCCCACTCACCGCTCAGGGGTGGGGGTGGGGAGGACAGTAGGCCCCCCTTATTGTTTTTAGGGCCCCCACCCACTGCTCAGGGGTAGGGAGGACAGTAGCCCCCCCATTATCATTTAGGGCAACCACCCATTGCCCATGGGTGGGTGCCGAGGGGAGAACAATAGGCCCTCCCCCCAATTGCGATCCGAACAAAGTCCTGAATTGCATCCTAACATGAATGGAGAAACTGTTCTCACTCTGTTAGGATGCAATTCTGCAGTTTTGTCGGCGTTCTGTCTAAGTGACAGGACGTTCAGCAATACTGACAGGAAGCATCGTGGGAACAGGGAGGAAAGCTAAGGATCATGGGAAAATTGCTCTGACCAGCGGAAATGAAGCACACTTTGCTCCTCCGCTGGTCAAAGCTGGTCAAGCGGAGGAAACCTCCATAAGGTCTTATGATTTTAAAGAAAACTAAAGAAGACCGGAAGAAAAGAAGAACAGATCCTGAGAGAGGGGGAGAAGAGGAAGAGATTGAGGAAAGGTAAGTTCGGCATGACAGTGCTGCTTTAAGTTCCCTACTCTGTTGTGCCTATGATCAATTGAAACAGATCTTATTTGATCATAAATTCTCCTCTGGATTAGTTATTTTTTTGTAGGATTTTCTTCATACTTCATAGATACCAACATTATTCATGATAAGAGTTTCTAGAACATTTTAATAAAACATATTAAAAGTGACGTTTTATTTATTATTTGGGTTACTTTATTAAATGGTTTACCCAAGTGTTTTTTTTCTTTGTCTTCTAGTTAGTTAATTCTGGGGGTTGCCCCCCACCCCCTTTTCCATTAGACCAACCTGCCATTTTCTCTCTAGAAGGTCACTCAGTTGGTTGTTGAAAATTACTAATACTTTCTATCTATTTTACATATAAGCCTAGATTACTTTTCCTTGTACTCTTCCTGTGCAGTGTAGTAACTGAAGGTAAATTAGAAAAATGGTCAGAGTTGTGGCAGCTGACATTTAATGTGGATAAGTGCAAGATAATGCATCTTGGACGTAAAAACCCAAGGGCAGAGTACAGAATATTTGATAGAGTCCTAACCTCAACATCTGAGGAAAGAGATTTATGGGTGATTATTTCTGATGACTTAAAGAGACACTGTGGGCACCCAGATCACTTCTGCCCATTGGAGTGGTCTGGGTGCCAACTCCCATCACCCTTAACCCTGCAAGTGTAATTACTGAAGTTTTTATAAACTGCAATAATTACCTTTCAGGGTTAAGTCCTCCTCTATTGGCTGTCTACCAGCCAGCCACTAGAGGGACTTCAGGCTTCTTAAACGATGCTGGATGTCCTCACACTATGCATGAGGACCTCCAGCGTCGCAGGGATCTCCATAGGAAAGCACTGAATAATGCTTTCCTATGGGGGGGAGGTCTAATGCGCACGCATGACCATTGCAGCGCATGCGCATTAGGTCTCCACCACAGGCAGATGTCGTGGGTGAGGAGCGTGGGCGGAGCCTGACCCAGTGCCGATGGACATCGCGCTGGATTCAGGTAAGTGTCTGAGGGGGTTTTAACCCCAACAGCGAGGTGGGATGGGGAGGCGGAAGGGAGGGGGCATTCCAGAATTCTCTAGTGCCAGGAAAACGGATTTGTTTTCCTGGCACTAGAGAATCCCTTTAAAGGTAGGCAGACAATGTAATAGAGCAGCAAGAAATGCTAGCAGAATGCTTGGTTGCATAGGGAGAGGTATTAGCAGTAGAAAGAGGGAAGTGCTCATGCCATTGTACAGAACACTGTTGAGACCTCACTTGGAGTATTGTACGCAGTACTGGAGACCGTATCTTCAGAAGGATATTGATACCTTAGAGAGAGTTCAGAGAGGGGCTACTAAACTGGTTCATGGATTGCAGAATAAAACTTACCAGGAAAGGTTAAAGGATCTTAACATGTATAGCTTGGAGGAAAGACGAGACAGGGGGGATATGATAGAAACATTTAAATACATAAAGGGAATAAACACAGTAAAGGAGGAGACTATATTTAAAAGAAGAAAAACTACCACAACAAGAGGACAAGAGGTCTTAAACTTGAGTGACAAAGGTTTAACAATAATATCAGGAAGTATTACTTTACTGAGAGGGTAGTGGATGCATGGAATAGCCTTCTAGCTGAAGTGGTAGAGGTTAACACAGTAAAGGAGTTTAAGCATGCGTGGGATAGGCATAAGGCTATCCTAACTATAAGATAAGGCCAGGGACTAATGAAAGTATTTAGAAAATTGGGCAGACTAGATGGGCCGAATGGTTCTGATCTGCCGTCACATTCTATGAAGTTTATGGTAATATTGTCAAAAACCTACGTGTGTGTCAGGGGGGAGATAACTTAACTCCTTCTTTACTGTATTTTACAGAACCAAAGTTTTTCTATCAAAGTAATTAAATCAGAACATTTTAAAATGAACACACAGTCAGATTCCAATAACCGTGCTTGCGCTTTAAAAAGGACATAACTACTCTTTCTTGAAGGAGTTAATGAGGACAAACTATATCTATGTCCCGCGTAACTCGAACTTTCACTGGTGAACAAGCTTTTTTTATTTTGTTTTTTCAACTAATTTTCTTAAATCGTTAATTTCTGGTTAATATACAGGACAAGTACAATTTTGAAAGAAAGATTTAACTTACGGATGTGATCCATAGTTGGATTCTGGATAGCACTGAACCGCACCATTCATGCTCCTGTACTCCACAACGGATCCATTGACTTTCTCATTGTACACAGACATTGCAGGCACAGACTCTGGGACTTCTGGTACATTTTTAACCTTTATCGCAAAAACAAATACATAAATAAAAATGAGTAATAAATATGTTTTGTTTTTTTTTAATGTTCATTGGTACAGCAGCTACACATGTTTGATGACAATGAAATAAACAACTACGATACTATATCAAATATATTTGGTTTAGTAATACTATTGGGTGGTCGGAGGCAAGTTCTACATTAGATTTAGACTAAGTATCTCTAGAACTTCATTCCATGGCTCTTAACCAAGATGAATATTCAGACTGAGCCATATGGGAATTGTAGCTTAAACAGCTTGATAGGCAACCATTGGCTATTTCTAAAATCAAAGCAGATGTGAGACTGCACCTTCTTATTAGAACCAATAATTTAAAGTTCCATTTCCCCCTTTTAATATATTGAGGACCATTGTTTACCCACCATCACAAGGCAGGATCATATCAAATGCTGGTTTTGCCCCCTCAAAGTCCAACATATACACACGTAGAAATACACATGGGTTTCTTCACTATAGGTAATTGCAGTAAATTTAAAACCAAATCATTGCAACTTCTTGGCGGCAGTGTAAGAAATACTCTCCAATACATAATGCGATTGGGGAGGTCTGTTGATTTTAAAAAAGTGCTCTTCTAAAAAAAAAGTGGTACAAAAATATTTTTAAAAAAACAAAACAAAAAGAGGAGGCGACAGCAATGAAATATGCTTGATGATTCCACCTGTTTCCATGGCGTTTGCCCTACTTTTAGTACTTTAACCTCTTAAGGACCAAACTTCTGGAATAAAAGGGAATCATGACATGTCACGTGTCCTTAAGGGGTTAAAGAGGTACACCAACCACCAATCAAATCACTGAAGTGGTCATGGTGTAAGGAGTCAGTATGTGCAGTATTTCAGCTTGAAACACGGCACATACTGAGATATTTGTAATTGTGTGCTGGGGGCTAGTTGCATCCCCACCACAAGAGATTGGCAGACCAGAACATAGGTTTGCGATTGGACCACACATGGCCCCAGTGACTACGGAGAACCGTGGAAGATCAGTGCCGGAAGCTTCTCCCAACACTGGATTTCAGGTGAGTAAAAGCTTTTTTTCTGCATATTGATTGGGGGTCCTTCTGCAGAGTGCCTATAATAGGACATATTACACTAGAAAGCTCCCCCTCTCAAATAGATTTATAGTAAACAATACCCTTTAAGCCAATTCGCCCCAATCGTGTTTCTTTCTCTAGGCACCCTCATGCTGACAAGTGCAAAGGGCATTGTGTATAAAAATAAAAGACCGGGAACCAAGATGGAGGCACTCATAATAGATCAGAGCCCTACATTCTGCCAAAATTCTGCGTCTATTCGCTGTTCGTACTCGCACCTCTGACACCCACCGTCAAGACTTCTCTAGAGCTGCTTTGTTCCTATGGAACTCCATTCCCTGCTCTGTTAGACTCTTACCTAGTCTTAGTTCCTTCCTTCAGGAGGGCATATCAATTAAACTGTTAATAGTTTTCCATCCAGGTACCTTGGTAACCTACCCAGCTTCCTCTATTCCAACTGTTTCCGCCAATAAACTAACCTTCATTGTAAACTACTCTAACAACCTACTTTTTTCACGTACATGATACATCCCACTTTACCCCACTCCATCTAGAATGTAAGCTTGCTCGAGCAGGGCATCAATATCCGCTGTTCCTGTTAGTCCACACATCGTACATTGCTAAGGAATTTGTTGGTGCTTTGTAAAGAATGAATAATAAATAAAAATGTGGTTTATGTGAAAGCAGTTTCTGAAAATAAGGCACATTACTTTCCTACTAAATGTAATGGCAGTTAGTGGGCAGAATAACTAGTTTTTCTTGCTTTGAGTCAGAGTAACAAACAGAGGTCAATTGTAGAGGACGACGAAGGAAAAAAAAATAAAGTATAAAAAAGGACAATAGTAGAAGGAACAAGATTATTGGAGGAGAAAGTCAGACTCTGGAATCCACTCAATTATAAAAAGGTTTAGGCATCAATCACAAAATTTAAGACGCCTAATGTGGGGAGATAGTGTAATAGTGAATATATGTCCATATTAAATGGAACACTATATTAATAATTATACACACTATTATTATTGATTATATAGTGTACTTATCTACAAAATGGTAAAGTAAATGGAAGATCTATGATATGGTAAAAGTTATAATATATTCACATATGTACACATACAACTTTACCATTTAGCAGATATACCCTAAAAAGAACACTACAACAACATGCAAGCATTTTCTTTTGCATGTCTCGGTAGTGAAATATAAATTAGCTTGCAGTAACAGCACACCTAGTGTCTGCATCTACTGCATGCCCTCCCTACTTCTCACTCCAGTTATTCCCAGCATGAATGTGAACACTCCAATTTCACAGTTACTATGGCAATCGGAATCTGAGAGACAAAGGACATATGAGCCTAAAACCCCTGTATATTTGCAGCAGCAGCAAGTTGCATTCTTCTGTTTCCGGTTTGCATCCAGGGTAAACAGAATGACTATGTAATGAAACTACAGACCACACCCAGAAACTGGCAGCGTAAAACATTCTTCTTCACGTGTTATCATCTGCACAAAGAAGCTCTTTATCACAATAATCTCCACGATAGAATTTGGACTCCAGATTTATTTATTTAACCAGTATCTGTAAAAAGTTTATAACATGGTTTATCTGCTCATTTACAACAAACCATTAAAGATTTTATGCAGTCACAAGGTTTTAAAAGTTTTTGAAAACCTGTTTCCTTGGACGTAGCAATGAAAAAAACCACAGACGAAACAAACAAAAACAAACATTGTGGTCATTTTGATTATTCTATTCAAAGTAGTTGTTTGGGAAGAAAAATCAACGTGCGTATAGAATTCACAAATATAGAAAGATTTTTTTTGCTTTCACTTTTTAAAATTAGATACTTTTCCAAGCTCAAATATGGCCAGTGGCGAAAGTAACCTCACCACTTGGCCCAAGATCCGTTTTTAAAAATATGGACACGAGTTATTCAAAAACTCTCAGGGTGGTGGGGGAATGGTTTGTGTAAACACACATACAAATTTCACAAAAAGGTACATCGTGCAACCGTTATCTAAAGTAAACTTACAAAAAAAAAAAAGTTTTTTAAAAATAAAAAAAGGATCTATGAGTAGCTTTTATATTGGCCGAATTAAACAGACATAATGGGAAAAAGTAAGAGAGTAAATAAAACATTACGGTAATTTATTCACTAAACCAGGCGTATACATTCTTTAGCACTTCACCTGTTGTGAACTACATCTCCCATGATGGTTTGCCAGCATTATGGCTGTGAGAGCATTATCTGAGATGTAGTCCACAACATCTGGAGTGCACCGATAGTTGCATACCCCTGAACTAAACAGACAAATCAAATGACAAAAATTTAGGTGGAAATAAGCAAATTGAGACTATAAAGGAGTTGGAGAATTTTTCCACGTAAGCCAACGTTGCCTACATTTCATCCTGCTCTCCCAGTTTTTATCCTGAGTCCCTCAAAGGGATTCTCTCATTGCTTCCTATAGGAAAACTGGACTGTGCACTAGTGACCCGGCAAGGGAAGTTTAATTCATGACAAAATCCACGCATGACAATGTGGAGCAATTTAACACCCCCACGTGGCTCATAACTCGTGCATAGAGCTTCATTAATGCAATACAAACCATGCCTATTAAAGTCAAGTCCACCAACCTCTCATTGTGCCAGAGGTTTAAGGAATATGCACAGTGTTAGACAGTGCAGAGATAAGGCCATTTGTTACATATCCTGCATACATTTTCAGAACTTTGTGCAAAGGACAATCAATAAAGGTTTATTCTGGTTTTCTTTGCCCATTTTAATACAAAGTATCCATAATAATTACTTGTTTTCAAGAGATTAACAAGACATTGTGCACAAAAGATGTAAAATCTAGTATTTAATAGCTGGATTGGAGTGTGTAGTGTACTTAACTCTAACGAGCACAGATTTATACAGGCATTGTTGTTTTTTAATCTCAAAAAGAATATAAACAGACACACCTATTACTTTCCCGTTCCAGCTATTGTAAGAAAGCTTAGTGAAATGATTTATATCAGTCACATGACCTGTCAGAGAGCCCTGAATGTACGGACACTCTTTAGGGAATAACAGCTTTGGGATCTAAATCCCGATTGCAGGGATCTAAGTTGTAGAGGGTCATGATGGCTTTCTTAAAAGGGACAATATAGTCATCAAAACTACTTTAGCTTAATGTATAAATCATGCATGTGACATTTCACTGCTCAATTCTCAGCCATTTAGGAGTTAAATCAAATTTAGTTTCTCTTTATGCAGCCCTAGTCACACCTACCATGGCTGACTGACACAGCCTGCATGAAATTTTTTTTTCATTTTCAGTCACATGTTAACTTACTTTAAAAGGTTTTATCTCCTGCTCTGTAAATTGAACTTTTATTACATAAAGCAGGCTCCTGCAGGGTCTAGAAAGCTATTAACAGAGCAGGAGATAATACATTCTAAAATAAACAGAATTTGAAATAAATGTGTAAAGATTAGATGACTCTATACAGGAAGCATTTAGGAAGGCTGTGCAAGTCACATGCAAGGAGGTGTGACAAGGACTGCAAAAAGTCGTTTACATGAAGGCCTTTATGTAACCGTGAAATATTGTATTGCATAATGTAAACGCTGGCTTTTGCAAAAGCCCTTAAAAGGCTACAATAACTGGGTATCTTTCTTTGCCGCGACAGCAATAGATGTCTATACGAAACATCAAAAATGAAAAAGTGGCGGGGCATGTTTTTTAACTGCAATATTGACTAACCAAGTCCACACCACCATGTTTACTTTGGCTTCTGCGTAAGCCGCAATGTTGTGTTAACTATTGAATCTTCTTACTATGCCAATACAGGCTTCTGCGCAAGCCACCCAAATGTCATATCAACTGCACATTGTTATGTGTCACGACCAAAAATAAAGAATTAAAAAAAAAAAGTGGTTTCATTCCTAAATGTCTGACAACTGAGCAGCGAGACTGATCTATACACCAAAACGGCTTCACTAAGCTAGAGTTGTTTTGGTGCCTATACTGTCCCTTCAATGACTGGATGAGCATGCTAGTCTAATACTAGACTATACACATTCCATCTAGGTTCCATGGATTATCAAAAGGAATTATTGAATCACTACCATTTGCAGTTTGCCAGTCATACAAGACTCCATAGCTAAATGGTTTGCTTATAGAGGAGAAATTAGTATAATTTATCCACCAAGAACACAGGTAGAAAAATATCATCATTTATAATGTACTCTGGAAGGTCAAATGAAAGAAAGAAATTGAGTTTTCACAGCTACAATGTAGATTTCCAGTTTTTATTCCTTACCCATTCCTCCACCTGAGGATCTCCAGGTTCCGCAAAGTGCTCTTTCTGCCAAAGGATGCCCATTTTGCCACAACGGTTGATTTTTCTGCGGGTTTTCACAGCAAAGAATATAATGATGGCAAATGCCACAACAATCATGAAACCCAATACAATTGCAATAGCCTAGAGGGAAGGAAGAAGAAAAGAGATTATAAATTCAAATTTTTGTGACTTGTTTAATAATTTTATATTAATAATATTGGCTCATAGAGTATACATAGACATGTTAAACTCCATCTTTGTTTAGCCTCTATCACCCCTACCCTCCATGTGACCTACATAATTTCCTTCCGATAAACAGAGTTCTAATGCCTAAACGTAATTTGTTGAACATTCTGTTTATTTTAGAATTATAGCTCCTGCTCTGTTAACAACACGTTGGTGTTTACAACGGCCTCCTGTGTATGATTAAAATTCAATTAGCTGAGCAGGAGATAAAACTTTCTAAAGTAAACACACTGTGCTGATACTTCCTCACAGAGTGTTGCAAGAATACAGCATCCAGAATGCCAGGAAAGCTGCATGTTACATCTCCCTGGACAAGCTTTTACTTAGGACCTTCCCCTCCACAAAATGTTTTTTTTTAACTTAATAAAAATAAATAAAAAATAAACAAACAAATAAATAAATAAATAAATAAATAAATAACACTTATTACATACAGAAGCATATGCAGGATATTGAAAAGTTGACAGGTCACCTTGCTTATCTACCCTCATTACAGTACTTCACACCACAAGACATACCACTTTTTTATTTGGAAAATAAGGTAGCCATTTAGAATGCAGTGTAATGATGGCCTGCTTTTGCTATCTCTCACAGGATGTCAGCACTTGCATTTAGCTCTGCAGACAACAATGACAATTCTTCATGTCAAAACCCACTTACTGGGTCACAGGGTACACTATATTTGATAACATAACACGATGCATATGGTAGCATATACTGTGTATGCATATAAATAAAAAAAAAAATTAAAATCCATTATCAAAGTAAAAATGCCAAAAATAGAAATAACGTAAACCAAAAGCACATGGAATTATTCACGGCAGAAGGAACAGCCAACCAAGAGCAGAACAAGTTTCACAATGACATGCTTTCTCAACAGGTGCAGCTACTGTATGATACAATGCAGAGCAGAAAGGTGTCGGGCTTTGTGGATACCTATCTTCCCCCACTTCGGTTACTACTGAATTACACCAAGCTGACACAGAACCTTTTCACAAAGCTCTGAACATGGACTGCCTTGCATCGGCATCAAGCTAACTTGCCGACTCTAGAAGAGGCCATGCTCATCATAAGATGCCCCCCTCTCTAGCCCATCCCCCCTCAATTGCCAGTTCAGTCCCTCTTCCTTATGGAATTTCAGAAAAGAGGTGGGGGGGGGGAGGGTGCACTAAAGCAGTAAGAGGGGGATGTTCTTGCAACATAACTTATACAAATGGCATTAGCTACATTATGGGGCTTGGAGTGTCTCAATAAGTATTGCAATTCAAAAGAATTGCCTTTGGGTTAGTTTTGGGGGATGATTTGATATGAAACAGAGGGATGCTTTTTACAGAAAATATGACCAATACATCCAAAAATCAGTTTGTAATCACAGTAATGAGACTGATATTTAAACTTTGAATTTCTCAATAGAACTTATGAAGCAGAGCTCAGTTAATGACACGTCTTCTGTTTCCTCATTCAAACAATAGCCATAGAGGAAATAAATACAAAGTTATCGGTGTAAATATTATGTGCAACACAAACGACGTGCAACACTCACCTCTTGTGGTTCCACCACACAGTAATGGTAAAGATACTGATTGACAAACATTCCGGTAGTTACTGGAGAGTAAAACTGGTTACAAATAGAAACAATCTGGGTGTAAAACGAAGATCCAGAAGCCTGAGCCACAGGGTTTACTCCGATGGTATAGACAATGGAGGCAATGAAGACCAAACCGCCAATGACCCCTGACACCACAATAACGATCAGGAAGAACTTACGGGTGGTAGCGATGTGATTCCTTGTAACCATCAATACAAAAATCACCATGGCAACAATAAAGCAAATGGCAGCCATGGCAAGGATGAAGCCTTTGGCAGCTCGGGGGTCTGTATAATTTCCTCCATAAGCAAAACCCCCTCCTACTGATGATCCTCCAAATCCATAGCCATTATATCCTCCGTATCCTCCATAACCAGAAGATCCACCAAAGCCGTAACCCATGGACTGTCCTGTTATATCCAAATCCCAGGGTAAGGTAGAAGCTACGCAGGCAAAGATGCCAACACACATGACAACAATAAGAATAGCCATTATCTTGATGATGCCTGGAGGAGAAGACCACTTGTAGAAGTGTTGAACCTCATCATCTGGGTAGTAGGAGTAAGCTGGCTGTGAGTGCATCTCGCCACCATACACATCTCTGCTCGGGGCATAGTTGGACGGCTTGCTGTAGAAGAGTAAAAAATAAAACACAAAAAATGAGAATATATATATATATATATATATATATATATATATATATATATATATATATATATATATATATATTCACACACACACACACACACACACACACTACAAACATTATATACATACACCATCTAAATGATGAAGTCTACACTAAGTATTCTGCTCTGGTCACTTTTACACAAGTCCAGAAAATCCCAGCCAGCTCTGATTTTCATTTTCAGAGCCCAAGTATGAAAAAAAAAATCTGACGATAAACTGTTAAAGGTTACAATAATACCAATAAGACTATCTATAAAAGTATAGATCACTATATAGAGAAAGAAAAAAGAAAAAATTTGTAATTTACGTGCTTATGTTTTATCTTCCCAGAATTTCTGCCATTAGCGAAAACTCTCACAACATATACATTTAGTAATTTAGAGACAAAACATCAGAACTCAATGGCAGGGATCCGCAGGACCCAAAATTGTAGCTAACAGAAGCAATTGCTGGGTGTCACAATGTAACGCATCAGTCAAGACTTTATTGGAACAAAACTAAAAATCAATGCTTCAGCCTCTGGGCCTTAACATGTATGTTACATTTTTTGTCCAAATGATCCAATAAATGCTTGACTGATACACTGCATTTTGTATTACCTCTACTAACCTCAAAAGGTTGGTTTTCCAGTCATTGAGTGGGATCTGAATTACAACTATTGAGGTTTGTTCAATAAATAAGGTGTTTCCAACACCATGCACATGGCAAACCAGTAGACCAGGTTTTATCAGAGTCTGTAGTTACCAATGCCTAGACCTTGGACTGTCACTTTGACTTGAAGACCAGGCTAGAAACCATTGCACTAAACACTGAATTGTAAACAGAGTTGCAACATTTTGGCCATGAAGTCATTTGGAAACACAAAATTCCAACTCTGCTATAGTCACAGCTTGGCTTTAAATTCCATAAAAATATTATCCCTCATCATTTATACCTATTCAGTTTATTAAAGGGTGTTCTGTTTTGTAGCACATTATGATTAGAACACAGCAAGATTTACATCAAATTACAGATAATAAGCAAAACCGTAAATATTGCAGATCCGCCCTAAGCATGAGTTCATCCACGTGCGAACATATACGCAGCTGCCTTTCATTATAGCAGTTTCTATTCACAGGGAGGCACGTCAAGGATATAATTGGAATGGGTGGATAGGACTACAAGTAGTTAAAGAAACAAAAATGTACACCCTGTCTAATCTAAACATAGCAAATTCCCAACAATCCCGCTAATACCATGAATAACTTGTTTTCCTTCAAATTCGGTATAAAACTCCACTTCTGAAATCATCGTTTATTGACATGTTGTGAAGAAACTACCCAGTCTGGTTCATCCCGACAAAGATACTATAAGAATGCAGTTACTGAAAATTGCTCTGAGGTGTAGTATATAGCAGTCCGATGCATTAAATTATCTACTGTCTCAACGCAGGGATTCACATCCTTACATCATGTGTTAAAGTAGCAATGCCCCACGTAGCACATTAGATGTATAGTAGCTCATTAAAGACCTGATGTTTTATGGTTAGAGAGTTTAATTATTATTGCCATTTATATAGCGCCAACAGTTTCCGTAGCACTTTATAATATTATGAGGGGGGGGGGGACAATTACAAGAAAACTTACAGGAACAATAGGTTAAAGAGGACCCTGCTCAAATGAGCTTACAGTCTATAGGATCACTAAAGTGTGAATTGTTATTGTTAGTATTCAAAGTGAATTTTAAAATTTTAGGCAAAAAAAGCCAAATGGAACCCCAAAATAGCCCATTAAACCCCTCAGGCCCCCCGCCCCCAAAAAGGTTTACTATATAAAATGTTTGTGTGTATATATATATTTATGTGAGTAAACCTATTGGGGGGGTATGAGGGGTGGAGAAGAAGAAGGAGGAGAGAGAGAGATAGATAGCTATATATACACACACACATACGAGGTCCCTTTCTGTGTCTCACCACTCATTCATAGGAGACAAACAAGTATACATGAGTTGTTCGTGTCTTTTCAGTGAATCCATTTTCAGTGACTTTATGTTACAGCACTTTATCAGATGCAGTATGTTTAATTTAGAGGCCAATATCCATATTTGCAACATTAAGTTATTTGCGGGAATCATCATAGCTTCAATTAAAAAACAAATACATAACTAATTCATATTCAATAAGGATGCAAAATACTTACTATTCATTTGGGTTATAAGGTGGGGGGCTTTCAAAATGCCTGTTCGACGACATTGGGGGGCTTTCAAAATGCCTGTGCGACGACATTTTTTATTTTGCAGGACCAGGTGGAAATCCGCAACGTTCAACCTAAAGGACAAGAATAGGATAAAAAGTAATGTAACAAAAAAACAATTAAAAAAACCGCAAACAAACAAATAAATAATGCAGTGTCTGCTTGAAATAACCACGTTTATAGAGAGATGCCAGGGTCTAAGCTTACACCTCTATACGGACTGGGATCAGGTTTATGTCAGAAAGCACTATCAGTGTGTTTCTCTTCACATGTAACATGTCACTACACGTGATCCATAAATGTTCAGGTGTTTGTAAGGAAAACATTGTTCCTTTTATGCAATACATTGTATATGCATATATTTTTTGCTGTAGGAGTCTTTCACAAGCAGTCACACGGCCGAGGAACATGGAAAAATGTGACCATGATAGATTTCTGTCTTTGAATCTTGGGTTTTAAATTCATATTTTTTTTTTGTCAGTTCCTGGCCATAGTAAGGGCACATTTCATAAAAAAGGAAACTAAAAATATAACAGTGCCCATCTTGACAAAAATTTTAAAAAAAATGTAGTTTCAACAGTCTGAAATGTAAACAGACACTAAACACCGTACATTCTCTGTAGTAGTTATAGTGCCCCTTTAAGTGATATAGAACTAATAAAAGATTGGTCACTTAAATTTTAATGGTAAAAAAAAATGACAGTGAAACAGATTTTTTTTTTTTTTTTTAACCAAAATATCAGAAAATATAGTCATGATTGTGTAAGTATGAATATATTGTATGGTTTGTATTCCCACAACTGAACAACTCCCACAATCAAATACATAAATGTAGCCCTGCCATCCACATTGCAAGCTCAACATGCACACCACAAAAACGCTACCACAATATCTTGGGAGAGGAAGATCACTTAACTCTTCAAAAGCCATTGTGAAATATTCAATCAGGGTTTTTCAGTAAAGTGTGACTTGTTAGGCATTCATATTTTAAACATCTGTAGTCGTATTGGAAAGATTCTCAGAGCCAGATAAGTTTTCATATTGGTTATTTTGACCTAAAATTAAAAATTTACTTTGAATTTCTGATACTTCACACATTACTGAATAACCTTGACTGTCTGAGAAATGAAGAGAATACCAAACTAAATTGACAAAATTTTGCAAATTAACTATCGGTTTATTAAGCTAAGTAAATAAACAACTTTATTTAATAGAAGATTTGCTTTACATGTAGTTTTACAGAAACAATTTGCATTGCAGAGATCCTATAAAGGGTTAACAACTCTTACAAGAACAATGTATAAACCCTGCTGTGAAAAAATAGGAAACAACCAAGTCTCCCAGCCAAGTTTGTGAGAACAAAGTGTGCATTTTACACAGAGGAAATAGGCGAAAGCTGTTGCAGGTAGCTACCATCTTGCAAACTACATTTCAATGCCTATTTGCAAGACAAGAATGTTACATAGTTCACAGAATTCAACCCTTACATTGCTTTCAACTGAAGATGGCTGCGTTGCAGTCTCTTAAATGTCAGCCACCATATCGAGGAAAGTATAGAAAATTAAAATCCTTCCCTAGAATTTAAAAAGTAATAAAAAAAAATTAAAACAAAAAAATTTATAGACACTAATTTTTTGAGCCCCTGTAATTTTGGTATTCGGGTTATAAAGATCCATCATGAGGCTTCAGCTTTGAAAAACCGTAAAATACAGAAACCCCTCCATCATATTATGGGTCCTTTCAATAAGAGTAAAATTGAGAGAACCCCCCTCACCCCATACCATTGGTCCTTTAGCCAGGATCACCCACCATATACTGTAAGTCCTTTCAACAAACAAAATATAGATACCCCTTGTACTTTCAGTCCTCTGAGTAAGATACTAAATTGGTCCATTGAGCAAATATACTATACCCTATACCAGGGATAGGCAACCTTCTGCACCCAAGATGTTGTGGACTACAGCTCCCATAATGCTCTTACACCCATAATGCTGGCAGAGCATTAAGGGAGGTATAGTCCAAAACAACTGGAGTCCTGGAGAAACAACCCAAAAGGAAAAATCCATATCTACTAATCACTTAAAAAGTAATGGGGGTGGGAGGGGGAGTAGTCAATGTAATGTTCCTTTAAGGCCAACAAGAAATAATGGAAATTGTAGTTATAAAGCCCTATGCTTTGGCAATGACTGTAACATTCCTCCGGATTAAATACAGAGACTAATTAAAGATTTAATAACTATCATTCTTAGACGAAAACAACGGGATTAAAGAAAAAATTGTGGAAGAATTGGGTCATACTGTAAAATGTTTACCTGAAAAATCATAACTCCACATAGGAAGTAAATAGCTACAGACAAGAATATTAGCTCTGCAAATTCAGTATTCACTTGTTTACCAACTGATCTCATCCGATAAGCCCAACCTTTCTACTGCAAATTGTCTTCAACTATAAAACTTTTTCTTAGTTCTTTTTTTTAAGCCCAGTAAGGTGAATTTAAACATTTTCCAATGTAGCTATTTTGATCTAAACTGTGTAATAAGTAACTATATATCAATATACAGGGATGAATGCACTCACTGTTCTCCAATTACTTTTCCAAAAGAAATATTGTAATGGCTTGAACCAATAAATATCCAAATATTTAGACAAAGAAAAAGTGGGTACTCACAGGTCTTGTTTAGTGAATAAAAAAAAAAAAAAATGTAAGTTAATCAATTAATCATTATATTGTGTATATTTTAGAAATGCTGTATTGTACTGGTGTATTATGTCTTGAGAAAGGATCATGAACAGATCCGAAACGTTGATGCCACACTAATACATTTGCTTAAAAAAGAAAAAAAGAAAAGTTTTCACTAAACAAGACCTTTGAGTGGCCACTTTTTTTGCTGAAATATATATATATATATATATATATATATACATACACACACACTAAATGGTAAAGCCTTCCTGTCTAGTACAACTTGAGTCTGGCAAAGCATTATAGGAGTTGCAGTTCCATAACATTGTGAATATACCTGTTGGTAATCCCTCCTGTTTTAACAGGTAATACACTGCAATCACCTGACTCACTCACCTGTGCAGATTAAAAGCAAATCTATCCTAATAAACAAATCAGGATAACGGCTATTATTAGCTATTGCCTAATCATTGATTTTTAGAACATTATTGTAAACGGTCAGTTAACTAAACAAACTACAACCCACAGCCTGGTCTGTGCCTCCAACCATCCCCCATCCACAGAACAAGCCCCACAACTATATGGAATCCTCCAGGGATGTGGATACCTTGTAACCAGGAGCTGAGAATAGAACACAGAATGTTCTTACCTTGAACGCCTGCTGTCTCCTGACCTCTGTTATCTCCTGCTCTGTCCGCAAGAATTAACCCACAGAAACTTTCTCCAAACTATATTGGGGTCCGGGGGCTCAGGTCCCCTGGTGTCCCGGTGACTCGCTCAATACTCTGAAGACTGGTAGAGACTCACAGAACTCTGCCTTCCTTCCCCCCTATCTCTCCGCCTCTCCACCTCCCCCCGGGACAAGGCGTGGCAGGGAGATAGACACCTGAAACAGGGGAGGGGAGCAAACTGGTTCCACTGACTAAAATCAGCCAGTTTCTATCATCAGCCTGCATGACTGGATCTTGTTTCTATTTTGTCCCAAGGAACTAAATGGGGAAAGGGGAGTTTAGGTGAAAGGCAAGAACTGCTGGCAAAGCTGGCACTACCTGGTGAGGTTTCATGGTGTCATATAGCTGGCTGTGTTGGGGATGTTTCATGGTGAGGTATAGCTGGCTGTGTTGGGGATGTTTCATGGTGAGATATAGCTTGCTGTGTTGGGGATGTTTCATGGTGAGATATAGCTTGCGGTGTTGGGGATGTTTTATGGTGAGATATAGCCGGCTGTGTTGGGGATGTTTCATGGTGAGATATAGCTGGCTGTGTTGGGGATGTTTCATGGTGAGATATAGCTGGCTGTGTTGGGGATGTTTCATGGTGAGCTATAGCTGGCTGTGTTGGGGATGTTTCATGGTGAGCTATAGCTGGCTGTGTTGGGGATGTTTCATGGTGAGATATAGCTGGCTGTGTTGGGGATATTCCATGGTGAGATATAGCTGGCTGTGTTGGTGATGTTTCATGGTGTGGTATAGCTGGCTGTGTTGGGGATGTTTCATGGTGAGATATAGCTGGCTGTGTTGGTGATGTTTCACGGTGAGCTATAGCTGGCTGTGTTGGTGATGTTTCATGGTGAGATATAGCTGGCTGTGTTGGTGATGTTTCATGGTGTGGTATAGCTGGCTGTGTTGGGGATGTTTCATGGTGAGATATAGCTGGCTGTGTTGGTGATGTTTCATGGTGTGGTACAAATGGCTGTGTCTGGTAATGTCCAATGGTGGAGTATAGCAGACTTTGTTGGTGATGTTTCATGATAAGGTACAAATTACTGAGTCTGGTAATGTTTCATGATAAGGTGGAGATGGCTGTATCTGGTGATGTTCCATGGTGGGATACAAATGGCTGTATGTGGCAGACTCAGCAAACTCGGTTATAGCTGATTACACACAGTCATGCGCAAATTACTTTCAACTACATTTTCCTTCATCCCTTTTTTTTTAATTATTTTTTTTATTTTTTTGTGCTTTTTGAATTTGGAAATGTTGACATAAAATGTACAATAGCTGTGCTAAATCAGAAATTCTTGGTTTTGTCACTAATTCCTCATAGGTAAGGGTTAAATGGCCAAAAAAGTGTATGGTTTGATATGTCAACCTGTCATTTGCTTTGTCCAAGAAATCCAAATTTGCAAATGATCTTTCTGACTCCTAAACCATAATAGATGTTTGATATAATACTTGTAAATTCTATACCACATCATAGTGTATTGCTACTACCTTACATCAGTGCTCTCCAATTCCTTTGGAGTGGAAGGATAGATTTAGTGAGAGACCAGATCTAACAGGGTTATTCACTAAAGTCTGAATTTCCTGAAATTCAAGGTACATTTAAATAGAATTTCAAATTATAGGCCAAAATAGCTGAATTACAGAACTTCCCAAAGTCAATTCTGTTATCTGTTTTGTTATTTTGGTCTCAAATCTTAAGTTCACTTGGAATTCCAACAATACCCCTGCATTGTGCAAAAATCATTATTACAACCATTTATGTCAATCGCCAACCTTACTTCTTACACATGTTTCCATTCATTCAACTTCATGGTTCCCCTCCCTCTTCAGCTCCCTCTAATTTTATCTTCCCTTTTTCTGTCTGTCTCTTTACCATCTCCCTTGTTCCTATCTTTAAGCCCATCATACTATGTCTTGTCCATTCTTCAATCAAACTTTCTGTCTTCTGCCTCATCTCCACCCATTCCATATTGCGCATTACCTTTTCTTTATTCTCTTTATTAAATCGTCTATTTTCATTCACTCTCCCACTTTATGTTCTCGTTTCATTTCCTTTTTATTTATTCCCACTTTATTATGGAATCTATCCTTTTTCTTGACTCACAACATTTTATTCTCTCTCTCCATTTCACTTCATGGTCGCCACAGAAAGTCGAGGTGGAGTTAGAAGAGGAGGGCTTGCATATCCCGCAAACAAGAGATCTTCAGCTTTTGCAAGCTGGTTGTAGATCTACCCTTAATGAAAAAAATGCATAATTCAATGCATGCATGTTTTCATTGGGGTGTGTCTACTAAAGAGTGATTTATTTATTTTTTGTTTGGGCCTTGGAGTGTCCCTTTTAACCTACAGCTGCTTTGATACCTACAATGTCCCTTTTAAAGGTTTGCACTGTGCTAATCTGAGGTTAGAACGTTCAATAAAATTACTTTCATGCATATCACAAGAGGCCATTTATTTATTTTTTTCCTATGAAATCTGTTGCACCAAGATATTTAGCAGCGCTGTAGGTTGGACATGCATACAAGTAATTGCAACAGATGACATGATACACAGGAAGAAGAGATGACATGGGCCGTGAAGTGGAGTAAAAACTACACAAACCGTGAATTACATCTGTTCAAAGGTCAAAGATTGATTGCTGGATGTATAAGCAATATAAAGTCTGCAAACATGATAAGATCTAAACACAGACCTAGGATTTATATTATGGAAATAACTATAATGCAAAGCAGGTAAATCAAAATAAAATTATCTGATGCCCCCAAACAAGCCATACAGAAGCTCTTGCCCCAAACTGTAATTTTCCAAAATGTATATATTGTAGATTATTTTTATTTCAAATTTCATCTGGAAATAGAAATAATACTACTCATAAATATGACCACATGTAGAGAAATGGGGAGGTTAATGAATTTCATTTTATGCCCTCCCCTACCCCCCTTTTACCCCCATAAGCAGTAATCTTTAAAATGAGAAATAAATTATTTGAGGGGGAAAAAAGTATCCAGAGTTTAACTTCACTATACACACTCCTACTACCATAACCCCTAAATCAGACTTTAGTGGTTGTCGTCTTTGTAATCGCTGGATGTTGCATGGTGCCCTAACTATAGTGTACAGTGGAATCCAACTAAACGATGTAACAATTTGTACCACTTTAAAGTAGCAGTCCAGGCACCCACACCTTAGGTACAATGTGTTTAAGTAAAAGTTAGTTATAATGTGGGATAAACAAATCCAATTTTTTTTTTCATTTGATAGTATTTAACTTCATATTATTATTATTCTTTTAATGCAAGTTTTCTGCCCCTCCTTATTATCTACAGAGTATTCTTTTTGTTCCACAAATATGGCCCAGTAATGGAGGTTGTAGTTTCTGCTATTAATTTGTACAATAGCTGCTATGTGAACTTCCACTCGAAGGAATCTCTGCTATTTCCATACATTTTGGAATAAGTTTAGAGTGCTATAAATATATAATGGGGCTGCTTGTGTGTGCATATGTATGAAACCAAGAGGGCTGCACTCATCTGAACATGCAGACTTTATAAGGTAACAGGTAACATACAAGATCCAGCACACGCACTCATTTACTAAACAGCAATTTCAAAGCTTACCAATAAAACATTTTTTGTTTTGTTTTGTTTAAAAAAAAAAAAATCTCACTTAGGAAAAAAAAATGGGGGTTTAGTAACAGTATATTATAATACATTGCATAAGCCTGCCATAATTCCAATGTACCTCATTTTTGGCCAGTCCTACTCCAACAATCTAATGCCTGCTTTTAGGAAAATAATTCAGTTGCTTGGGAAATGCTTCCTCCTGGGACCCTCTGCAGGGCACATGATTGAGGCACCTGTGAGATAGGGGGATGCAAAACCCTGGCATTAGGTTGCTAGTAGGATTAGGACCTGCCAAGAATGGGGCACATTGACATTGCGTCGGGCTTATGCAATGTATGATCATATACTGTAATTAAACACCAGTAGTAAGAAACGTTACTAGTCATCAAACTAACTTTTGTGCTTTGCCCCTTTTTATTAAGCCACAACTATTGCACAATATGACCCCGCCCATTGTGCGATGACAGGTGCCCGTCCCTTTTTTTACTTAAACCACGTTCATTGCACATTATGGCCCTGTCCTTTGCCATTTTTGACGTAGTAACGGACATTTTTATGAATCCACGCCCCTTGCACTTTATTACGTAAAAAGCCTTTTCATTATAACAAACAGGGCAACCGTGATAAAAAAACAACCCTGGAATTCAAAAGCTGTAGGCTGTCCATTAATCAGAGCATACCCATCAAAAAAATAGTAACCAACCGCCCTGTAGAGAGTGTTGAATGGTGATCCCCTCTTTGTGTGCAACATACATTAACCACTTTATAGACTTTGTTGAGAAACGTTTCTGATTTGCATGGTAATTGTAAAATTGCTATGCTGTTTTTCGGTAAAACATGAATCTGTACATGGCCATGCACACAGACGCTAATGTAATGAGTTGAAAAGCATCAATATCATCTTTGACCGTTTCAGGACCCAAAGGAACCATAATCATTTTTACCTTCTTGGTCATTTCCATCACACTTTCTCTGTAGCAGACACAGACCTGTTTTAGGATTTTAACATCACCTCTACAGTATTTTTAAAGTTCATCTTGAAAATGTAACTCACAATGTTGGTTCTCTTGATACCAGGTCATAAACTCCTTTTTTATCATTATACATCATTTGGTCATAACCATAATAGTCTACCGAAGGCACAGGGCCAGTATAAGACTGATTCTGAGCGGTGTTAAAAAAGTGTGGAAAATATCCTTTACAGCGGGCTTTTGGCAATTTACTTAGTTTCATGGGAAGAAAATTTTAAGAATCTATAGATCTGATACCTAGATCAGCGACAATCACACAAAGTAAATAATGCCTTGCGCCAACAACTCGCTGGCAATTTTCTCCTTAAAGCGGCACTGTCATGCCGAACTTACCTTTCCCCAATCGATTCCTCTTCTCTCCCTCTCTCAGGATCTGTACTTCATTTCTTCCTGTATGCTCTAGTTTTCTTTAAAACATAAGACAAAGTAGGGACTATTTCTCTTCTGGAGGTTTCCTACGCCATGACCAGCTATGACCAGCGGAGGAGCAAAGTGTGTCTCTTTTCCGGTGGTCAGAGCAATTTTCCCATGATCCTTTGCTTTCCTCCCTGTTCTCACGATGCCTTCTGTCAGTATTGCCGAACGTCCTATCACTTAGACAGAATGCCGGCAAAACTGCCGAATTGCGTCCTAACAGAATGAGAACAGTTTCTCCATTCGTGTTAGAACGCAATTCGGGAGTTTGTTCATATCGGAATTTCATTCAAATGAATGAAACTCCAATCCTATTCATTGCCGCGGCTGCATCTTGCAGCCACTTAGTAGATAACTCCCTAATTCCCACGGTATTAGGGAGCTATCTACCAAAAGGCTGAAAGACCTAAATTGGTCTTTCAGCCACATTTACTAATACTAAGTAAAGATTACTTAGTATTAGTAAATTCAGCCCCTACCGCTATATCGCAAGTAGGGGCATGTCTATAACAGAGCAGCCTGTGGCTGCTCACTGTTAAAAAAAAAAAAAAAAAGTCCTAGTACCCTAAAGGATAATCAGGGGAGGGAGGGACCTATTGTCCTCCCCCCAGGCCCCACCCTTGAGGGGAGGGGGGGGACCTACTGTCCTCCCCCCCGGCCCCAGCCGGTGGGTGGGGGCCATACAGGAAAAGGAGAGGGGGACCTACTGGCCCTCACTCCTGTGCAGTGGGTGGGGGCCATAAATCACAATGGAGGGGACCTACTGTCCTCCCCCCCCCAAGCCTCTCATACACACATTGTCCCACATACACAGCCCCCATACACAGACTGTCCCCACACACACATACACTGCCCCCCCATACACGCACTGCCCCCCCATACATGCACTGCCCCCCCCCACACACACATACACACATGACTGACAGACACACACTCACGGACCAGCACACATTCTCAGATACACTGACATACACACACATACACGCACTGATTTGACACAATCTGACACACATACAATTATTTAGACACACACTGACAGACGCATACACTTACTGACAGACACGCACAATCATTCAGATAAGTGTATCTGGACACACACACTCACTGACAGACAGACAGACACAAACATTCACTGAAACACACACACTCACAGACACACACACTCACTCAAATTCACTGACACACACACTCACTCACTCACTTTCACTGACACACTCACTCACATTCACTGACACACACACTCACATTCACTGACACACACTCACATACTCACATTCAATGACACACACACTCACTCACATCCACTGACACACACTCACATTCATTGACACACACTTACTCACATTCACTGACACACACATTTCCCCCCAACACTCACAATTGTTATATATATATATTTTTTTTAAATAAATCCACCCAGCCATTCCCTACTTTTGGGATAACTGGATGGATTTTTTACCTGGGCTGCTGGGCAGGAAGGCGGCTGGACGTGCAGGAGGGCGGGTTCTCTAAGTTTTCAGCGAGGGAGCTGTGATCTCTCGGCTCAGCTCCCTCGCGCACCACAGAGTGATGTCGGGAGCCGGAATATGACATCATATTCCAGCTCCCGGCATTACTGCGGGTGGCACGAGGGAGCTGAGCAGAGAGAGCTCAGGGGAAAGTTCAAAACAACTGGACGCCTGCCCCGGAGGATCCCAAAGGTGGCCAGCTGACCAGTTCTTGGGCTCCCATAAAACAAGGCAAACTCCCATAAAACAAGGAAATTGCCGCCCAAGGCAAATGCCTTGTTTGCCTCGCGGTAGATACATCTCTGATTCACACACTGTGCCCCCATACACAGCCCCCCATACACACATTGCCCCCCTCACACACACCCTACACATTCACACACACTGAACCTTTCACACACACTGCACCCCTTACACATTGCACCACCCACATACACCACTGCTCCTATGCCCTACTACAGCCCCATATACCAGCAGACCCGAGGCAAGTTGTCAAACTGTTCTTAAATGGTTTGACTGCTTACTGTGAGAGGGGGTCCCGGCTCTCTACACAGAGATGTAGAGGTTATTGTGCATGGATTATTTCTTTAAATAATCTACAAGTGCCCCTCCCGAGATCAGGCTCTGGATCTGCCACTGGTCTTCATGGTATATAAACACAACTTTCTCTTTACAGGGCTTGTCTGAATGAAAATAGTGCCACAAACCATATTTGTGGTAGAGTACTTTATTGTAATGCCTTAATGTTGTTCAATAGATGGGATGTCACTAAAACTAACTAAACGATCATCAGGGATACCTAAAGATTTATGGATTTCCCGGGCTCTCTCCGACAACAGAGAGTCTGCAGGATTATCCTGGGTCACAAGGGCACAAATGCTAGTTGCCAGACAAATGGTTATTATTGTCATTGTTTAAATCATAAAGCCATCTCTTTTTGGTGGCAATGATACAACTATAGGGTGTTGACCGGAGACGCCTACGATGCATTACACCACCTACTCTATTCCTAACAATAATTACAACCAGTCTTAATGAACTGCTGCCAATAATTTCAGCATTGCTCTGTACCAAGTTTGACACAGCGTTTAAAAAGGTTTCAGCATTCAATTCATCCCTACAACGTCTAATAGAGTGTAACGGTCTGCCAAGCTCATCGCTATTTAGTCTTAATTGAACAAAATCGCTGGGCCCTATATCATTCTGTTTAAAAGCTCTAGAACAGCATCATGTACAGCCTGCAGTGCGTCTGAAAACGATGGTATTCTGTCTAAATTTACAAACCGAAAATGTTCATAATATTTCACGGCATTAAAATTGTTAATATCTCTGCGGGGTTGTTCAACACGCTCCAAAAATACAGGGGCCTCTAGCGCATCAACGGGGTTCTGAACTTCAAGATACTCCTGCGAATTGAAATGACCTCCTAAGTAAAGTAATTCAAAGGTAATGGCAAAGCAACAGAAAATAGTAATAAACTGTATTTTACCCCTTAAGGACTGGACTGTTTTTGCGATGTTGTACATTTGCGACCAAGCCTCTTTTTACACTTTTGTGGTGTTTGTGTTTAGCTGTAATTTTCCGCTCTCTCATTTACTGTTCCCATACAAATTATATATTGTTTTTTTCAGGACAAAAAATGGTTTCTTTACTTACCATTATTTATATAATCTCATGTAATTTAATTTTTTTAAAATATGATGAAAAATTTAAAGAAAATACATGTTTTTTGACTTTTACTTGAAAAATCTTTTACTCATCTACAAAAGCGAATATAAAAACTGCTAAATAGATTCAAAATTTTGTCCTGAGTTTTAAAATACCCAGTGTTTACGTGCTTTTTTGCTTTTTTTTTTTGCATGTTATAGGGCTATAGGTACAAGTAGGATATTGCGGTTTCAAAACAAACATTTTTTTCAAATTTATCAATAGTGACATTGTAACACTATTATCTGTCATAAATCTCTGAATAACACCCCACATGTACATTTTTTTTTTAAAGTAGACAACCCAGGGTTTTCAATATGGGGTATGTCCAGTTTTTTTTAGTAGCCACCTAGTTGCAAACACTGGCCAAAGTTAGCATTTATATTTGTTTGTGTGTGAAAAAAGTAAAAAACGAAATTGAATGCTAATTTTGGCCAGTGTTTGTGACTAAGTGGCTACTAAAAAAGACTGGACATACCCCATTTGCAATACCTTGGGTTGTTTTCTTTTGCAAATGGTATGCCATCATGGGGGTAATTCTCATTCCTGGGCTACCATATGCTCTCAAAGGCAATGTAACCAACCTGGCCATTTTCATTGTAAAAATATTTGACCCATATATTTGACCTGGTAACTTTCAAAAACGCTATAAAATCTGTACATTGGGGTACTGTTATACTCGGGAGACTTTGCTGAACACAAATATTAGTGTTTCAAAACAGGAAAACGTATCACAACAATTATATAATCAGTAAAGTTGCTGTTTGTGTGTTAAAAATGCGAAAAAAGTCACTTTCACTGACAATATCATCGCTGTGATATGTTTTACTGTTTTGAATCACTAATATTTGTGTTCAGCGAAGTCTCCCGAGTAAAACGGTAACCCCCCATGTACAGGTTTTAGGGTGTCATAGAAAGTTACAGGGTAAAATACAGTGCTAGCAAATTAAATTCTCTGCACTTTCCTGGGTTGGCAGGCAGGTCCCTCAAATTGCAATTAATAAAATTACTTAATTATGTAAAAATATTACATAAATACACATGTAGAATTTAAATATATATATATATATATATATATATATATATACATATTTATATATTTGAAGTCTACGTGTATATTTATATAATTATTTATGTAATTTTGTATATGGACATATGTATATTTCGTATTATTTTTATTTATTTATATATACATAGATATATATACAATTTCATTCTAAGTGTATTTTGATATAAATATATATATTTTAATATTAAAATACAGTTAGAATAAAATTTCATATAGATATAATTTAAACTTTTTTTATTATTTTTAATTTTTTTATTTAATTTAATCTACTTATTATTTGTATTTTATAATAATATATATATACAATATATATAGTATATATATACGTGTGTAATTTAATTATAAGTGTATTTTTATATTAATATATGTACATATTAATATAAAAATACACTTAGTATGATATATATATGATTTATAGACATATATTATATAGATATATGTCTATATATCATATCTATATATACACATATATAATAATATTTTTATTTATTAATATTAACCTTTATTTTTATTTTTTTTACACTAGCAGGGAGACTGCCTGTCAGCACAGACAGTCCCCCTGCAGGCAGACACATGGACACCTATTGTGACCATGCGATCGCTCTCTGTTGAGCGATCACATGGTTACAGGGGTCCTAATCTGCCATGGGGAGACTGTCTGGCCCACACCGGGAGCACCGCCGATCACCGCTGGGGGAACGACGGCGATCGGGTAAGTACATAAGACCATTAGGACGGTTCAGGACCGTCACCGGTCGGCAATGGAAAAATGCCGATGACGATCCTAAGCCGTCCTCGGTCGTTAAGGGGTTAAACAAGATCCTAAAATTAAAATACGATAGAGAAAAGTGAAAAAAAGGAGAGAAGGAGAAAGTGTCTTTTAATAATCAACAAGTATAAAAGGTATTGAAAATCCCTATAAGGGTATAAACAATCCCTATATTAAAAAAAACAAAAAAAAACAGGTTTATAGAGAGCGCAAAAGAAAATCAATGATATAGTGGATTTTCTAAGCAAATGCTTCAAATTACAATTATCCACAAGAAAAAGTTGATATACAAAGCTGCCCGATACACTAAAAACCTTCCCAAGTTTTAAAACATCATACACAACATAAAATGAAATAAAAACAGTATCAGCGCTTAGTTAATATACCTTTTTTATTAAAGGTTGGATACATATAGAGGCAAAGTCTTTCTACATCAATTTCTGTTACAACTATCAAATCCCTGCGGACATTTGAAAACACCCCACTAAGACTGCAACTGGAACTCTTTATTTAATTTAATATATTTTCGTGGTTGACCCCTATATAAAAAATAGGGGTATATTAACTAAGCGCTGATACTGTTTTTATTTCAATCCCTATATAAAACCAAAGTGTGCTGCAGGCACAAAACAATATGTATAATGTAGCCTGAGAAGAGCAAAGCGTCTGAGGTGCTCAGGATATCAGTTACACAGCAGGCAGCATACAAAACATGTAACCTGTGTAGGACAGTAGGTGAAAAGATGGTCAGAGATAGGTAATAGCCAGTGGGGTTCTATGTATATGACCCATCAGACAGAGTAGTGGGAGTAGGCCTGCATCTAGTTGGATGGAGGCATAACCCCACAGTAAAACCAATGGCAGCCAAACCCCACTCCCAAACCAGCTGTGCTAATAACCCTCCGTAACTAGGAGGCTATCCAGAAATAGCTAGAGCTATCCAACCTTATCACCTAGGCTATCTGCTGCTTCATGGCAGCTAGGAGATTCTATGTAGCTTTCCCTGCGTGTTTAACATAAAGAGCTGCAGCTTACCCAAACGGATAGAAAAGTGAACTAAAAGAATAAGTGCATTGGCACACTAAGTAGCTCGACGCGTGTTTCTGCAGTAAATACTGCCTTTGTCAAGAGCCACTGTTAAAGGACCACAATAGTCACCCAGACCATTTCAGCTCAATGAAGTGGTCTGGGTGCCAGGTCCCTCAGGTTTTAATCCTTCAAATGTAAACATAGCAGCTTCAGAGAAACTGCTATGTTTACATTGCAGGGTTAATCCAGCCTCTAGTGGCTGTCTTCCTGACAGCCGCTAGAGGTGCTGCTGCAACTCTCAAAATCGCATTGAGCATGCAGAACATCCATAGGAAAGCAATGAGAAATGCTTTCCTACAGGCGGTTTTAATGCACGGGGGACTCTGGCCGCGCATGCGCATTCGGCTCCACTCGGGAGCTGACGTCGGAGGGGGAGAAGAGGTCACCAGCGCCAAGGGAGCCCGGCGGGAGGGGGCCCTGAGGGTGTGGGGGGGGACCTAAGGATTATATAGTGTCAGGAAAATGAATTTGTTTTCCTGACACTATAGTGATCCCTTAATATTCTCAGGACTAGATGCTTTGTTGCATCTCTGGGGAATGTTCTGTAGGTGTCATGATCTTGTGCAGGTCAGGGATTAGACTGAAACTGGGGTTAACTTCAGGGTCTCTATTTTCTATCTTATACATTATAGTAAGAACAGGATATCCTATAATAGAAATTATAGGAATGGGAGAGACAGAAAACAGAGTTACAGGTGAGAATAACTAGGCTATGAAGTAAAGGGTTTAGACAATAAGCACAAAGTGGAAATAAGGTGAACCTATAAATGAAGTTACAGGTAGGAGATTGTATAGGTACAATCTTGAGGGAAAACAGGATTCATTCAATATCCCCCAGAACAGGATATAAAGAAACTGGGAAACCTATAAGAGAGAAAGATAAAGCAAGAGAATGAAAACCTATTGATGAGATAATAAGTTACAGGAAAACAAATAACAACTAAACAGAACTAGACAGAATTATAACAATTACATTTTATAGGTCTTTAGTTGTTCAGTCTCTTTGGATTAGAGCTTGTACTGCAGTAACAGGTCTTTTCTGATTGATACCAATATTATCTGGAATGTTTGTAAATCCAATGTAGGAGTAACGCAGGTAGCCACAAAGTAATACTAAATTAAAGTCCAGTATAGAATTAAGCCAGTTGGGTGTCAAGCAGGAATGTAGGGTTGTTCAGGCTGCAATGGTGCAGGTTTGTAGATAAAGCAGGTAAGTAGAGTTGTTCACTCAAGTCTGGAGCAGGGTGGTAAGTAACGCAGATTTTTAAGCCAATATGGTAAGTCCACAGGTTATAACACAGGAGCCAGGATTTGAAGTCTTTCAGGCAATCATCAACTTCAATGTCAAGGCAAGGAGTTGAGTTGGGTGTTACATTTTGTAGGAACCTAATTAGTCCAGGCAGGTGAGGATGATAAGGTGAGTTTCCAGAACTAGAGGCAAGGAAGCCACAAGTGGTAAAACATAACCAGTGCAGGAACTTTGTTTTAAAGAAACAGAATTAACGGAACAAAAAGGCTTGCTTGTCAGGATAGGATCCTCACAGTAGGCGATGGAGCTATTTCAGTATCATTTGTGTGCGGTGTCACAGGGGTACCAGGAGTGTCTACGCCATTTTCAGGTGGAAGTATCACAGGGGTTAAACATTTATCTGCATCATAAGGGGGTCTTACGTCGTTGCCTAGACATCGCAGAACGTAATACACCTCTCAATGTATTTATGGCACATTTTACGGTTCTAGCACGACGCTTAGCTATACGTCTCTGTCTGTCCCATTTCTTGGCTCGGGATAATAATCCCCGACCAGCCATGACAAGGCACGCAGGGTTCAGTAAATTAAGTCCTGAGCGAAAGGCATCTGTAGCACGGTCAAGTCTTTCTAAACGGTCTAAAAAAGTGCTTTGTCTAATCTCATCATCAGTCACAATAGTAATTTTACAAATCTCACTAATCACAGAGTCAATAAATTCTCTTAAAGCTAACCAAAAATCAAGTTCCTTAAAAAACCACGGTAATAAATTACAACCGTTGTCATGGGGTAATATAATGTTTGGTGTAACACCACATATGCTCAATGGACTGTCAAGACCATCATGGGATAACAATGCATGCCCAATTCTAAATGGTTGACTAGCAGCGTAAAGTTTTAGACTAAGAGGCCTGCTGCACTGTAAAAGAGCAGTGTCCTTTAATATTTTGAATATTTCATTGTTTGTATGTTGTACAACATCCTTGACTTCAAGCCATAAAGGAATGACACGCAAGAACCACAATATACATTTTTTAGCATCAAGTGGTGATGTGGTCTCTGTATATGTGTGTGTGCTTTTGCTGTAAGCCTGTGTTATGGCCTGTAAAACAGATCTACTTTCCTTAGGTGGCGGTGGTGTTGGCACATCTACAGAGGTAATTCTGGATGTCAATGATGTAGTCCCTATATATATGTTGTTATCATTGCAGATGGTTTGTGTTATGACTTGTAAAGCAGGTCTACTTTTCTTAGGGATCGGTTGTATAGGTACATTTACTGGGGTAATGGAATGTTTCACAGATACATTGGGTGCTACAGTGAAATGTCGACCCCCTGACACATTGACTGGTGATATGACTGCTGGCTTACCCCGAGACGTGTGTTTTGTTGTAGTTAATGACTGTATTTGTAGAGGCTCCTTTCCTACACATGTCGCACTAAATGGGTGCTGCCTTAAAACCCCTGCGGTATATGTTGACATGTGTCCGTCGTTACGTGTGACTGGAATATCTCTTGTAGAGCAGCTCCGAGTTATAGACAACTTTAATGCTGTATACAAAAATAAATGAATATTTTAATATACCTATGTACATACAGGTAATAAAATCAGTCACGCAGGTATGCATACTATATTTATTTGGTAAATAAATTTACAAATAAACAAACAACTCATACATATACTCACCCTGTTTAAATTTATGCGAGTTGCAGTCCCTGCATTCTCTGGCATTCGCGCTGTATGTCTTACTATGGTGATCCGCAATTGGTAAGCTACTAATGCCTCTACATGCATTAGAAACTACTGGGGTTTTTGTACTTTTTATGGATGTTTCTAAAATAAATAGAAATATAATTATCACAGGCATAAAACCGGTTATGATACAGCTGCATATAACATTATATAATAACACACCTGCTTTTAATGGTCCACGTGGATGTATGTTGAGGGGTCTTTCAGCCAATACCCCAGTATTAAAAGGATCTAAATAAATAAAATAATACAATGAGCCTTAGTTTATTTTATGCATAAACGACTACAACATAAACGTGTATAATTTTTAAACACTTCTTAATATAGAAAACTTACAACCCTGTGAGGTGACCGTGAGCCTTCTGTAAAACCTGTTTTCATTTGTTGTCCGACTAATTTTTGCCTGAAACGTGATAAAGTATTTGAGCGCTTAATACGTGAACACTATGTCAGCATTTTACAATTAATGACACTAATCAGTTGTTTGACAAAACAGCCACAGTGAAATGTCGAGGGTTGTAGTTAATGGAATATATTCGAAGCTTGGACTTGTCCCCAGTGGGGTACCTCAGGGATCTGTACTTGGACCCATTCTCTTTAATATTTTTATTAGTGATATTGCAGAAGGTCTTGATGGTAAGGTATGTCTTTTGCTGATGATACTAAGATATGTAACAGGGTTGATGTTCCAGGAGGGATAAGCCAAATGACAAATGATTTAGGTAAACTAGAAAAATGGTCAGAATTGTGGCAACTGACATTTAATGTGGATAAGTGCAAGATAATGCATCTTGGACGTAAAAACCCAAGGGCAGAGTACAGAATATTTGATAGAGTCCTAACCTCAACATATGAGGAAAGGGATTTAGGGGTGATTATTTCTGATGACTTAAAGGTAGGCAGACAATGTAATAGAGCAGCAGGAAATGCTAGCAGAATGCTTGGTTGTATAGGGAGAGGTATTAGCAGTAGAAAGAGGGAAGTGCTCATGCCATTGTACAGAACACTGGTGAGACCTCACTTGGAGTATTGTACACAGTACTGGAGACCGTATCTTCAGAAGGATATTGATACCTTAGAGAGGGTTCAGAGAAGGGCTACTAAACTGGTTCATGGATTGCGGGATAAAACTTACCAGGAAAGGTTAAAGGATCTTAACATGTATAGCTTGGAGGAAAGACGAGACAGGGGGGATATGATAGAAACATTTAAATATATAAAGGGAATCAACACAGTAAAGGAGGAGACTATATTTAAAAGAAGAAAAACTACCACAACAAGAGGACATAGTCTTAAATTAGAGGGACAAAGGTTTAAAAATAATATCAGGAAGTATTACTTTACTGAGAGGGTAGTGGATGCATGGAATAGCCTTCCAGCTGAAGTGGTAGAGGTTAACACAGTAAAGGAGTTTAAGCATGCGTGGGATAGGCATAAGACTATCCTAACTATAAGATAAGGCTAGGGACTAATGAAAGTATTTAGAAAATTGGGCAGACTAGATGGGCCAAATGGTTCTTATCTGCCGTCACATTCTATGTTTCTATGTTTCTATGTCTAACAGCCACAGTGAAATGTCTAACAGCCACAGTGAAATGGTTAATGCTGTAGTATCATTTATTTTAAAAATGTTATTCTATAACATGCACGGATAAGCTCAGCATAACACATATATACAACAACATACACGGATAAGTTCAGCATAACACATATATACAACAACATACATGGATAAGAGCCGCAAATGCCTAGAGCTAGATAAGGATTTTGCATACATTAAAAACATTACTAGCTATGGTCAGTACGTAACTTTTAGAACACACAGACACGGAAGCAAACAGTGCAGACTCTATATAATAGACCCTTACGTTGTTAAAAATAAACACAAAAACATATGGTACACAGTCTATACTACAGACCCTTACAGTTAGAGATAAAACAACCCCATAGGCATTCATATTTTGAAAAAACACGTGATTTTAAATATAAAAGAATGAAGATTTAGAATTACTTACCATATCTGTGTCTTGGGTATTCATTATGAAGTTGTAATCAGGAGCTGTCTTGTGCACCCTCGTCTTGAGACAGGGCTTTTTATACTTTTTTTTTGTGTGTGTGTTTGTGTGATGGGTTCAGACAAATGCATGAATGTCATTGTGTGATGTGGTCAGACAGGTGCATGAGGGTCACTGTGTGATGTGGTCAGACAGGTGCATGAGGGTCATCAGTAATAAATATATCCATACTAATTGCATAGACAAAACTGATTTTATTGAGAGCAAAAAAAAATCCTAACATATCAATGACAATAACACGCCGTAAAAAAATACAGAATTTCCCACACACTGTGGACAGATTACTTTGGAACTGAACATTTTGAAAGTATATCTGTTTAGTATTTCTTTTTTTTTAATCCGTATCTCTTGCTAGTCCGGAAGAATCAAAAAGATATCCCTGTCTCTTATCATCAATATAAACAGCCAACCAGTGCTCCCCGGATAATGTATGTTGATCTGTATTTATAATGAATGTCGCTGGTACACTGTTCAGTTTAGAGGTTGGTAGCAAATCACACGGAAGCACACCAATGAATATACCTCTGGAATATGGGTCGGTACGTAAAATATGCGTTATTTCTAAGGTGGCCATGCGTAGGTTTTAGAGAAAATCATAAAGTCTTTGATTAATTTCAATTATGTTTTCAAACAGTCCATAGCCGAGCAAATTTACAGTGCATTCCAGGGCCCTCGAAAAGCGTATTTCAGCCCTAAGGTTACCGCTACGTATGAGTGAACGATGGCTACTGCATTCCTGATCAGGCGATAGATCAAAGGCGAATAATGTATATCTATCCACAAATTCTACTCTGTTAATTATAATTCCAGAATCACAGCAATTCTTCTGTGCCAATAATAAAAATGACATATATATACATGCACAGCGTTAGAATGTTCAAAATCAGGTTGAAACGGCTTTGCAGGTATTTGTTCACCATCTAGATAGAGAGCTGCAAAATTCAAATTGTGGTGTTTGAAACACAAAGGATTTCTGCCGTAAGCGCCTGAAAAAGCTTAATTTTATTACAAGACACGGAGGCTCGTATTTGCATATCCCTTTCTTTATTGTCTACTCCATAGCAGCAAAGAACATTAACAGAATTGAAAGAAAAGGTAGTACATGTCTCACACACAGGCCATGCCCCTTTATGTCCAGTATATTACCCTGGTCCGCCTTCCCATTTCCCTCTTTCTTTGCTGCTACCATGCCAGATAAGTACCTTTTTATTATACTCTGATAATACTTAATTTCCTCATTACTATACGTTTATAATTTTATTAATCTTTTCCTTACATCCTCCTTGATTTATTTTATATGACTGAATATTAATTCTTCGTTGTACTCCCAGGTTCCCAGACCGTGTGGGGTGCCCTCATACTCACTAAGGGTACCCCACCTTTATTCCTTGTGAGAAATTCCTGACCTTCTCTCACTAAACTTTATACCTGTTTTCTGGTCTCTGTTCAACGCTTTACCGCCATTTTCTCTCTGGGTACTTCTGTCTCCGCATTCACTCATTACCACATAGGCTGTTCGGCTGTTTTCCCTCATTTTAGATGAATTTTTCATTCAAATTTTTTAGACGAAGAACTGTTCACCTTTTTTATTCACTTTACTTAAACCCTTCTATCTATTCACTGCATTAATTCGTTTTTTTCTTTTCCCGCTCTTTTCTGGTCAACTCAGTGACCCTCCTGTTTTTCCTCCCCCCTTTTGGGACCTGCCCTCCTTCTACCAACGGTCTGGGCCCTGGTGAGAGTCTCTGTCTTCTGTCTGTCAGCAGTTTTAAATACTTTTCTCCTATCTGGTTTTGAATATTGCAATTCTACTATTACTTTAACAGTCAGCTTGGGTGAATTACTCTCACTGACTTTATCCCTAGCATTGTTTTTACTATGCCTAAACCCAATATGCCTGTCTCCCCCGCCCATACGGATGGGGACAACACCACCCCATTAGGGGAGACCTCAGCCACCATGTCAAACCCGCTCTCTTCGGGTGATAACCCCCATATTTCAGAGGGACCCCAATTCACGGCGCTTCAGCGCTCTATGTCCGACGCCATTATGGCAGCAATGGGATCTATGTCATCAGCCCTCTCTCAGTCCATTGCCCAAGCCATTTTGGCACGGCCTATGGACGCAGATCCCAGTGATTTAGGCGCAACCCTCACGCTCCCTATGGGACAGCCTGGTGACCAGGCACATAGAAAGGCTATGCACAAAGCCAAACATATTTCTCTCCCTGCCTCCAGAAACACCAAGACTGGCGCACCATTGGTCGCCCCTGAAAGCGTGACCCAAGCTCGCAAATGAACCTTTCCGCGCCAGGCAGAACGGGCGCAGCTTTGGAAATGTGCGAGAGCACAAATTGAGAGCGACTCCGACTCTGAAATCGGGTCAGAGGAGGAGGCCAAGATCGAGTCAGAGACCGACTCAGATACAGAGAGACCTGAGTGGGGCACAGACCCCTTTTCCTCCACACAAGCGGAGACGCATGGAGGTGAATTAGGGTTGGCAACCCCCGCGGCCGCGGAGTCCGTCCTAGTGGATCCGCTGGGAGAGCCATTATTTGACCCGGACGAGCTTCACCACCCAAGGTCCGCGGAATGGAAACCTAGAAGCCTGGGTACGGCGCCCACTCAGTAAGGCTGCAAGAAACAAGCTTAGGGCAGAATGCCCCAGACCAATAGTCCCCAATAAAGTGTGTGACACCCCAGAAGTGGACCCAAAAATGACCCAGTACCTAACCAAACTGGGCTGGAACCCACGCAAGGGTTTAGACTCAGCCCTGCGTGTCTGCCAAGACAAGCACTAAGACATATTTGGCCCCTTGGCCAAACTGTTTGACCTGGCGGAAGACGCCAAAGCGGAACACCGCATGGTTGACCCCAATGAACTTCGTGGCTGGGTCCAAAGAGCAATATGCATTGCCGGGAGTGTGAACACCTCCCTATCAATTGAACGGCGTAAAGCCATACTTTTTAAAATTGACCCCAAATTAGCCAACTTGGCCCTCACGGAAACCTGCAAAGATGCCCAGGGCCTTCTGTTTGGAGACTCATTTATGAACGACTTGGAGCGTTACGTGGGCACGTTCACTGCCCTTGATAAAGCACAAACCACTATGAGAAAGGTTTTCCAGGGACGGGTCTCTACCAGGGCCGGCAGATCTAGGAGCCATCTGGCCGGACGGAATTATTTCCAGTCCCGAAGTACGGGACGATGCTCCATTACTCAACGCCCCACCTATCACGACACAAGGGGCCGGTCTCCATTCTTCCCGTCCCGCGGCCAGCAATGGCTCTCAAGAGGTTTCCGTGGATACACCGGCTCAAGACGACCTTACGGTGAGTCTTTACAATTCTCACACTCTGTGCACACACCTATTTTTTTCTCATGTTTGTGTAGGGGGCAGACTCCAACATTTTTTCCCAACATGGTCAGACCTGACGTCCGAGACCTGGGTGCTCAACACAATACGGGGGTTTCACATAGAGCTAGTGGGAGATCCGGTAAGTATCCCCTCCCCCAGACCACTTTACCTCTCTCAGCACGATCGCATGTTGATCAACGAGGAACTACTCGACCTCCTAGACAAGAGGGCGATAGAACAGGCACCCATAGGCAACGCTGGGGTCCTGAGCAATGTATTTCTCGTTGAGAAAAAAGGGGGCCTTATGCGCCCGCTTATAAACCTGCGCCCCCTCAACAACTTGATAAAGTATCGTCATTTCAAGATGGAGAGTATACACCTCCTGAGAGACCTACTCCAGCACGGAGATTTGTTGGCGAAACTAGACCTCAAGGATGCCTACCTTACAGTCCCGGTGGCAGAAACATCTCGGGACCTCTTACGCTTCCTTTGGAGCAACAAGACCTGGCGTTTTACCTGCCTCCCCTTTGGCCTCTCATCGGCCCCTTGGTGCTTCACCAAGCTCCTCCGCCCGGCGATGGCCTGGCTACGCAGTCAAGGAATAAGACTTATCGTCTATCTAGACAACATCCTACTCATGGCTCAAGCTCACCAGGTCCTCTTACGACACATCAAACTGGCAATAGATCTCCTTTCCCGTCTAGGGTTCATCATCAACTGGGAGAAATCCTGTCTGACCCCTACGACACGGATAGAATTCCTAGGATTTATGGTGGACTCACTTCAAAAATCCTTGAGCTTACCCACGAGCAAGGTTCGTGCAATCCACAAGGAGCTGCGCAGGGCACTCCTCCGACCGCAACTCACGTTGCGACATTTAACTCGCTTGATCGGCCTCTTAACATCCTCCATTCAGGCGGTATTCCCCGCCCCTCTACATTACAGAGTCCTACAACGACTCAAGATTGCACACCTACGGGAAGGCGCGTCCTACGCGGACCTGGTGACTCTGGACAGAGAGACAAAAGACGAAATCCGCTGGTGGATTCTCAACCTGTCCTCTTGGAATGGCAAGGCGATCTTCGGCTCCCTCCCGGAATTCACCATAGAATCAGATGCGAGCCTACAGGGATGGGGCGCTCACTGCGCAGGCGTGTCTACGGGAGGCCGCTGGTCGGAAATCGAAGCCCGGTTACACATCAATGCCTTGGAACTCCTGGCGGGCTCCTTCGCGGTCCGCAGCTTCGCGAAAGATCAGGCACATAGATGTATCCGCCTCCGCATGGACAATGTCTCGGCAGTGCGGTACATCAATCACATGGGCGGTACCCATTCGGCGCTCCTAGCCGGATTAGCGAAGGACTTCTGGGAGTTCTGTCTGGAATGGAACCTGATGGTTCAAGCAGAATATTTGCCAGGGTTACACAATGTCCAGGCGGACTGGAGTTCTCGCTATCTCTCGGACGCCAGCGACAGGACATTGGACGTGGAGGTTTTCTCCACTATATCATCTCTGTGGGGTCCTTTTGCTATAGATCTTTTCGCATCTCAACTCAACACCCAGCTCCCGCGTTTCTTCAGCTGGAGACCAGACCCAGCGGCAGAAGCCGTGGATGCCTTCCTGCAGAACTGTCAAGAAACCCCACTATATGCGTT